GATATTTATCTGGTGAAAATACGACAATTCAGGCACATCATATTCAAACCAACTCCGTTGGAATAATCGAACTTAATTTATGATAGCGTTAAGATACCTTCCGAAATGATGTCCCACATGATTTCCACATAATCATCTCTGTCAGCTCTTGACTGCTCGTGCCAAATGCCAATAGCGTGCATTAGCTCATGACAACAAACAGCCATGCGCTCACATCCGCTACCGATTGAAAGCCTCTGAAAACCTCCAACCATTCCGACAGACGAAAAGCACCTGTGAAAATATTTCAAATTTGACCATTCATGCATTTATTGCCTATCTGAAAATGATTTTAACGAGTAGAATTTTCTACTTCATACATCTTTCTTAAATATAAAACATGATATTTATCACCAATCCATTGATACCTTTTATAACTGAAAAAAACAATTTTATTTGTTATTTAATACTAACTTTATACTATAAATTTTATGATTATTAAGTATATAATACATAATTTTGGTATAAACGTTGAATTTGTAGAACAATCATTTTTATTCTTAAACAAACAAATTTCGTGTGGTCATATTTTGTTTGAGCTAAGCTGTAACGAAAAGTGAAAGTAATAAGCCATTGTGATATCGAATAACAGTTACACCCAGGGCTGGTGCGCCGAAGCTGGAGTCGGAGCCTGGAGTCATGGAGCTAGAGCCAAGCTTAGCATTTTAAATGAAGCAGGAGCCGGAGCTACCAAAAATTTCAGTGGTTCCAGCTCCTAACCATATTATTATATTTTAACATTCATAATTTTTTAAAACTTCATACAAATATTAATACATATCCTTATCAGCTCATGAAATTTTATAAGTTGAATTTACATCTCGAATTTTCATTTTGAAATTTGGAATTTTTGTATCCTATAGTTTTGAGTCCCTCTTTCGCAAAACTGCATCTGGGCAGATATTTCATGGCAGTGGTCAAACTTAGAAACCTCAATAGCTATGGAGCTATAAGAGCTATACTTTTATCCAAGATTCACAAATTGACATATATGTCTAATTTCGTATCAAATATTCTTAAAAACTATGGTTTCGGTTTATTATCATAAAATTTCAAAATGAACTCACCCGCCTGCAGATACAAATCGGATGTAGTTTGGCTCATCAGTTCTTTCGTAAAAATTCAAGCAAGTTCGGAGTTTGTATTCTTGACGAGCAAGTTCAATTGAACCAATCGCCTGATGATTAAAATATAAAAAATTAGAAGGCTATCTAAATTATATACCAGCACGGGAGTGATCACTGCAAAAACATAGCTACACAGACTTTCAGGTACCTTACGCCAAAACTTACTTCCAAGCTCACGGCTTGAAGTCCATCAAAATAAACAAACGGTATATTTGTCGACGTCCATAAATAATCTTCATTCCGAGCTGTATTCTTTGTGTCTTTACTTTTTCTCGGGATAACATCTCCATGCACTAGTCCCTTGATTCCTTCAACAAAAAAATAAATTAAAGAATAGATTTCAAGAGAGCAAAAAAATTGCAATTAATCTGAAATTGCGGATTTTTACCTTTGTTTATTTCAAAAATGTCTTTTTTCTCCTGCGCTTCTTCAATGCGTCCATTTTCGAAAAATCCACCTATAAATGGCATGAACATTAATTAAACATCACTTGAGTGGTGTCTTCATGCATGCAATTTTGCATTACCTCGGACAAAACTAATTGATACTCAGTTAATTAAACTAAAATCAACAAAATTTTAATAAATGAGTCGGCCTGAAAGTAAAGTGCTATATTATATGAAACGAATTGAAAATTTATTACTCCTCCCCAAATTTATTGCTATATACCGACAATTGCTCGAGAGGTCACAACCAGGTATACCCGCGGATATATGGTCCCATTTGCCATTTGTATGATATATTCGTATATATATGGGACTATGGGGATGCTGTATGAACATATTGGACATGGACAGCTGGCATATTTTTCTCATCTGAGTAAAAATAGTATTCTTCAATGTGGTCTCCAAATGTCCCTTAACTTGTACACATCAATATGTTGCTTTTTTATTTAGCAAAAATCCAATAACTTATTTTTTTTTATAAACATTTGTTTTTCTACATCCACCATTCTTCTCATATTTATTAATTAATGATCTTTATTAAAATAATTCTCTTACCGAGCGGTTCTCCTAGTTGACGAGCCTGTGAGCAAAAAAATACAAATTATTGAATATAAATACTTTTTGTTAAAATATAACTGATTTTATTAATATGTATATATTATATATATATTATTATATAGATATGAAATCTCTCGTGTTACCTAATTAAAAACATTTTTCGGAACTAAAATATCACGCTTATTTGTAAATGATGATATACATTATGAATTGTGCAATAATTCAACAAGAGTTTCAGAAATATTGTCAAGAATGGTTCCACACACTAATAGTGTTTTATCTGATTACTCACCTCACAGGCAAGCAGCATAGCTGCCAAAATATAATAAAATCTCATGGTTGACTTTGCAGAACCAAATATATATCCTGTAAAATCTCTATCAAAATAAAATGAATCAAAATTTATCGTCACAGAAACATATTAATAAAAAATAAAATAAAAAAGACTTTTTTATTAAAATGAGACACTACTACTAGACTACCAGGGATCTAGGAGGTTTTGTGATTTTTGTTTATGGAAATATTGTCTTTATGTCACATACAGTAAGGATTGTTGAAGACTCCTTTTCAGGGTCAAAAGTTTTTTTCATGGATTGAAATAGAGGAAGAAACGGTTAAATTAGCGAATAAAATAATTTTAATGATCTATCTTTGTTGATGCCTATCTGCCATTGAAAAGTAATTCTGCAAAAACGGTTTCTGTTCTGTTTTTCAATGCATATAAGCATATGCCCTTGATGCAACATTTTTCTGCGCGACAATATAACTTACATATCTGTCTAATAAGTTCTTTGTGTCGCTTACCTGACATATCTCGCAACACAGCTATGTGACAAGCAGTGTTTTGTGCTATCGTCAAAAAAGATTAGACAACTCTCATGTTTGCATAAAATATATCAATTTATTACTTACATTAACACGTTACATTCGAAGTGTTACAGGTAATATGAAATATATACCAAAACCTAGTGGTGTCATTGAAGAGGGTTTATCTCAAAAGACAAACTTTAATCAATGTTTGCACATACTGCTTCAAATGCAAACATTGTTGTCCGGATTAATTAATGATCTACGAAATAGTTTGTTGAAAGCAGTGAGTAAATCCTCGATGACCTCGAAGAATTGCCAGGAACTCTTCATAAACGAATTTTGCACTGAGTTCATTGCTGTGTTTCATAGACAAAATATTACTTATTATTTGAATAGACTACCTGTGGTGAAATTATGATATCTTCTACATTAGGCAATTGCCACTTTCATTTATTTAACAAGTAAGGTGCAATGAATGTTCAAAAAAGCCAAAGTTTATCGAACTGCTGATGTCGGTCTCAAATATGTACGGACTATCTTTGTTTATTTCGCGAGTTAGGTAATCATTTCAAAGTACGCAGTCGCATGTACAAGCAAACAACGGAAGGATCTACGACACATTCCAGTGTTGCACTGTTGGCGCCCTTTAAAAAGACTATGATCGATCTAAGCCAGTTATTTTCAACCGCGGCTTTTTGAGGCGCATGCGGTTCTCAACTATTTTTCCTGTAGCCCTCATTATCCTTAAAAAAAAATTATATTCAGTAAAAAAAATTCATTGAAAATCAATCAGTGTCTTGAATTGAAAAACTGAAGTGCAGCAGTTGAATCGATGTCATCTTAGATGTTACGTCGTTGTGAATGCTATTTTTATTATGATATTGTAGTGTTTTCCCCAGGCTTGTCCACGGGACATGTTTTTCTGTCCCATTCCCATCCCATATATAGCAATTATACCCGTCCCATCTCATCCCATGGGATTGCCATTGGAATAAAATTCGATAAAAAGTGTTAAATTTAGGTTTAGCGTCTACTAAATAGGACTACATGTAAGAAACGAATTGTAAAATTTACGAACTTTGTATTTATAACTATTATACATGTGTTCATCAGCCCCTTCCTAAAGTATATTGTTAATGCTGAATATGTTTTGCTCTTTATAACTGACAAGAGGGCTATGCTCAAATATATGGATAGGAAGTCCATAACGAAATGTTTTACCATCAATTCCCTGAAAATCATATATTCCCGTTTTTGTGTCCCATGGGTAATACAAATGCGTTTTCCATGGACAAGCCCGATTTTTTCCCCACAATGTTCAGCCTACGTTTCAGTACACTGATTTCATTGTTTCCGATAATCACTCGCTTTTTCAGACTTCAGAATTATAAGTCAAAGCCGATGTCAAGTTCAGCGCTAAATTCGTTTTTACCCCGAGTTTGCTTGATGTTGTTATTTTAGAATACATAGGCTACCTGAGTTTCGTTTTGTTGGTATTTTAATTTGCATTATTTTTTATGCGGCCCATTACAACTTAGAGGTTTATAATTTGGCTCTGACACTAAAAAGGTTTAGAACCGTTATAAAAATATTACTGTATGACATTTCGAAAAAGGCTTGTGAGACTGTATCCCAGGTATAAAAGTGTTTTCTTCCTAGAAAAAGTTGTACCTTAAGTTTCTTTTAATAAGAAATGTCTTTTTATAGACAGAATAAGTATATAAACGCTTTAAAAAAAGCTTCAGAACTTTTTTATATGGGTAGTTGATTTTCCTAAAACAGTTAATTTTACAAAGTCTATACCCTTACAGATTTCTACTATGAGCATGACCTTTTCTTCAGCTCCCATTTTAATAGATTTTACGGCGTAATCTCTATATCGCTCGAACGAAATAGCCTGCGTAGACCTGGAGAGGAAAATTTTTCGACAACAGTCACAATGTTTTCAAAAATTGCCGCTCTATTGAAAAACATAACCAGTCGAAAAAGACATATTCTTTAGTAATGATAGCACATTTCTTTTTTATGAGAAATATCGCTTTTCCATACTGCGACATCGATGGTATACAGTCTTACCGGTCGATCGTTAACTGAAAACATCGCAATTATTCTATGAATAAAACATTTCTAGAATAAGTATAACTTTTCGGTGTGTCGAAATCTTTTTCAAAAGAAAGGACATTGTCTATTTTGATGAAACATAGACCAAATCGAATGAGCATAACATTTCAAGCATAACAAGTTTTTATATCCACATAAACATAGTAAAACATTTTTGGAAAGATGCCATTTTGAGAACGAAACATAGCAGATTTAGTCTTTTTAAAAGATTTGTAGCCTATTTTGAGAAAATCTGCAATGGTCACACTTTGCATGTCAGCTCGGTACGACTATGGAGCAAAAATAGTTCGGAAACAAAACAAGAGAAAAAGTCACTGACAGTTGCCTGTGAAATTTAAAAAACTTAATTGGTGTAACTAGCAATTCCAGCACCCGATTATAAACCTAATAATTCATACCGACACGATTTCGGGCATACCCATGTGCAATGGTAAGGTATTTATGTTGAATATCGGAAGTTGTTGACTCGGAGTCGATATGACCTTGCGTATTCATTTCTGGAAGCTTTGAGTCGTGACAATGTGATTCATAGGAGTAGGACTTGGAATATTTAAAAAATGTTAGTTTATTTCAATGATCAAATTTGACTCGATCGATAACTCTGAATCGGGCCCTTGGGGTCTCAATAGTTTACACCGATGGTTCTCAAACAATAGGCTACAAATACCAGATAGACAAACACTTTGAAAATGCGCAGATGGAACGTGAATATTCAAAATAAAGAAATCTAGATAGCCAAAATAAGGCAGGCAAGATCTAACAAATATTTTTATTTTCAATTAACTTCACGCCCCTCAAAAAAAAGGCCTTCGCGGCCCACTGGTTTACACACCACATGTCCCCAATGAAGTGAATTAAAATATTATCATCGTAATATTGAAAGAATTGTCGATTTGTAAAAAGTATGGTTACCCAGAGGGCAGTGTCATATTTTTTTCACTGATCTATCACAGACAAAATATATGACATCAACCAGGAAGAGTTGAATCTTTTGTTATAGAAATCAAAGACATCAAAATATGTCACACATATTTATTACATATACAACCTTTTTTTTACTTTCTCCAAAATTCTTATTTATAGGCAAATATTCATTAACTAAGGTCGTGTAGATGGCAGGCCGACAAATTTTACACTAGGTTTCGTTGTCTATTTGAAGTAACAATAAATAAACAGTTTTCAAATCGCGTTTTGATAGTGTCCAAATTCATTTATATACTATTAGATATGGTTGTTGTGGCTAACACATGCAACATTTAAAATTCTGAAATAGTCTGTGTTGGGTAGAAGCCATTCAAGGGTCACGGATCGTACGAGTTCGGAAGTCAAGCCAATCAATTAAGTGTAACTAACTGGCTGTAAGTTGACAACGATTCCTAATAATTCAATGTCGACTACTTAAATGGTGACTCAGGTTGATTCGAGTTTCCTCAACATGTGCAATGTGTTATTTATCTTCAGTGCTTTTGCCGCTGATAGACTATAAGATATTACATTGGTGCCAAGACATACAAAAATATTTAGTAACGAGATTTTTAATAATTAATGTCAGTTTATATTGGCAATGTTTAAAAAGTAAAAATTCTACTATGAATTTTTTTCTGAAACAAAAAAGCAAATAAAATACGATAAAACGAGTGGCTTCTCATAGCTATTTTGTTTGCAACTCCAACTCTAGGTTATTTTATTTGGGATTCCGCTCCATATTAACATTATGATTAAAAAAAGACGTTGCTGATGCATCTATCGTTTTTAGTTGTTGCTTCTTTGAATTTCAGCTCCAGTAAAATAGCTGTAACGGAATCTCCAAACTCTAATAGGTACTAAAAATTTAAGATAATAAAATGAGTACATTGCGTGCAGTGATTAATAAAAGAGTTCATCTGTAATAATGATAGTAATAATTTAATTTAACGCGTAGAAATTGCTAGCATTTATTAACGTCAAGTCTTGTATAAGTAAACACTGCATACATAGAGCATGATAAAATTGCAAATATTACATAACGTTAGAGGGAAATCGCACACAAGACACTAAAGAACATTGAGGTTTTTTTCCGTAGCAGGAGAGCTCTTCCGAAGTCTAGAAACAAATCGTATGGAATATTCAATAAAAATGACAAAGCAAAAAGATCCTTATCGTGTCACAAATTCTATGTGTTTAATGTACTCAGATCTTTGACGGAAACCGATGCCTCTGGCTAGAATATATGCTTCATAACAATTAATTATACTACGTAAATATGGAGATCCTACTATCAAATTTATCGGGAAAATATACTAGGCATCTTTTTTGTACAAAACGTTATTTCATAAATTTTGTTATTAATAATTTTATTAATTGAATTGACCGAATAACCATACATTAATTTATATTCATATTACGGGAGTGCAAAAATGCAATTGTTATATTTTCATTTTATGCAGCAGATAGCAGTTGTTTGCTGTTAATATTGCTCGTATTTTTGCTTGAAACAAATAACATTATATAACTTACATAAGACGCGAACGAGACGGTGTATGAAGCTCGTTTATTTCTGATAATGAAACATTCGCCTGGCTCGACGATTGTAAAAAAGTGTCCATGGATCTGTTATCAGTTTTTGACGTTGTTCCTCTGAATTGTTGGAAACAATTTTATTAGTCTTTTATGATTAGCACAGTGCAAATTATCAGACCTCTCTCCTTTCAAAAGATATCAACGAATATGACAATAAAATTAGAAACATGAAAATAGTGCTGCAAATAGTATCAGGTGATCATCCATGGACGATGAACAGACATATATGCTTTTACTTTCATCGTATTTGTTTGGCGTTTGTTTTACAATGTATTATATGTCAGAAGGCAGCAGAATCACAATGTACAAAACTATAGCTCCATACATAAAATACAGAATGTCTTACTATAGTCTATACTTCACACTCTTCAAAGTTCAGCATGTTAATCAATAATACCGTTGCAAGAACGGAAGCCTATTATATTCATTGACACGAAATAAATAAAATGAAAATAAGTACTCTGTCACGTTACTCACCGTTTTTCCGGCGTTTTTTCTGAGTGAATCGACATCATTTGCGTGTATTCGTTATTTAGATAAACTTCATGTGAAGCTCGTTCTCTAATTTTATCTTCCTTTTCACGAACAGATAATACTTCTACCTTTGGAACTCCACTTGCTAGTCTGTTGTGGATTATATATATTACTATGATGCTCACATGCGCGAGGCTTCAATGAAAATATTGAAAAATCGGCAAATCTGTTTGCTTGATGAACTATTACAAGTATACATGATCTGAGCATATCAAATGACATTCGTGTATCCTCAATGGGAGACAGATGAATAATTAAGATGGCTGTTCTGGGTAAAAACGGTTAAAACATTCCGAATATTCAATAAACTCACCCGGATTGAATTGCACTTTTCGTCCTATGCTCATCGTCATCCGCACGGGATTTTCTCAACGCCATGCAAGTTATTATTAAGATCACTAGTAACAGAAGAGTTACAATTGCCAATACCATAAGCATGATTATCTCCAAATTTTTGAACGAAAACAATGTGCATGACGTAGTAACAATCGTTGAGACATATGTTGATGTGGTTGTCGTTGGTGATTGTGTAATTGGTGACGGTGTCGTCTCGGAATTAGTGAAGGATGTCGACGTTGTGACTGCAGTCGTTTGGATTGTTTGAGGTTCAAAATTCAAAATTCTGGGAGTGCTTGGTGCTGGTTGTTCTGTAGTTTTTATTGTCGTGACCGACTCAGTATCTGTCTGCGTTACTTCGGGTGTTTGTTTTGTCACTCTGGTTACGACTGTAGTAGGTTTTGTTGTTGCGGGAGTCGTGCCTGGACTGCTTTGACTGATGAATGGCGTCATATCTTGAAAAACGGGTTGAAAATAACTATTGAAGTGAGCTACACCACGTTTAATTTAAAAATTACCGTAGTACGAATGAGTAAAATTGTGATTTTTGTCACTAGTGAAAACAGTGTTTTGTAGAGAGATAATCTTTGTGTTTTTGTTCCTTAATACTAAACAAATGCCTTCTGCGTTATTTCGAAAAAAAAACGCCTGTACCCAAGAGATTTACCAATGGAATTCCTGAATTTAGTCAATAAATTGACCGAAAAAGATTGATGAAATTTATCAGTTTCAACCTTCAAGTAATATATAGAAAGTTTGTAGTTCAGTCATATCTTTCTTGCAAAAAATGCACACTAGCTAGAAAAGAAAAAACATTTTACCTCGAACATCTACTGAAATGATCAATGTATCGTGTTTTACGAAGTGTCGTCTGCCGAGCAAACCATCGGTCGTAACGATAGTACCGCCAAAACTGACCTGAAAATAAAACTCGATCCAGGTTTTACCAACACAAAATTATATTTATTGTCAACTGGAACGAGTGATGTGAGGAGTAAGTGAGCGTTGACTAATATTCGAGCTTTCTGAAGGTGTGATAATTTATTTTTAGATTTGAGGCATGTTTGGCTCCGTTACTGACTATGAGTTCTGAAAATTCGTGGCAAAATTGCTTTGTTGTGACGCGGACTTTCAAAGCTAACCTAGAAAAAAAAATATGTACCGTAAAGGCATTTTCGCGTTCTTTATCAATGAACGCTCGAGTTTGATCTTGCGCTCTGAGTGGGTTGGATTGTTGATCAATAACACTCAAACGAACATATCTGTTTTTATAAGGCCATTCAAGTTGATCATCGCTGGGACTCGGTGCCAGTTTAAAAAACACAGTTATTTTGTCTTTCTCAACAAGATTTGAACCTTTCACATAGACCTGAATTGATAAAAAAAGAAAACCAATTGAGAATTGCCATTTTATCTTTTGTGTGGAGATTCATGCCCGGATTAAGCAATCGTCTGAATTCGTTAGATATTGCGAATCCGCTTTAAAAATCACATAAAGTTTATCCTATTATCCGATATTAATAGAGCGTTTGTCAACTTTCATATATATCATTCATTACCAATATATGAAACGCGTATCCATCATCAGTCAGTACTGGAGAAGATACAATGCCATCTCCCATAGCCGAATTTGTCAAACGTGATGTAAAGGATGGGTATACGAAGTACGTCGTATCACAACGTCTATCCATGACACTGAAATCATCAATTGCCAGTGCGGATTTACCACCTGAAATTTGAAATCTAATTATGTAGTAGAATCAAAATGTAATAATTCTGTGTATGAAATGGTTCGTTGCAATTTTTAATTTATAATTATCATTTTCCTAATCTTCTACGTTTTTGAAAAAAAATTTCAAACTAATAAATATATCGGGTAAAGTAGTAAAATAGTATTGCAAAATTGTTTTCCCTATTACGAAATAAATATTATGACAAAAACTCAGATGCGCCATAGAAAAAACTAATATAAATAAAAATTGTATTCGAAATTTTGTATATAAATACAACACAACCTTCACATAGTGCAAAGTGACCGTGTTTGGTATTGCTACAAGTACAAGTTCTAACTATCCAATTCAAAATTTCTGACTTTCATATATGTTTGCATTAAAAATAGCAGTCTCATTAATTCCCAGGGAAAATTTATTGAAAAATTGCCTACTTAGCTTAGATTGAATTAGAATCCTATACTGAGGTGGGGCACTTATAGTTCTTCGCATGAATTTCCATTGGTTGCCACTTCGGGTAATAAAAATTTCTTGGTTCCATATTCCTGTCACTTCACCGTTTTTGTCATCTACCGAAGCGATGCTGATGCTGAAATTGGAGTGACATCACTTGCGGCATACATTTTATGGAAAAAATTGCTTTTCTAAAATGCTTACTTTATTTCAGCCTCTGCACTGTGTTCTAAATAATACCAGAATTGTAGACACTGTTTTGTTGACTTGCTGCGCAACATCATCGATTTTATAACTTCTGTCGAATTAGACGTTGTGTATATGTATGCACCTGATTAAAAAGTTCACTAGATCTGAACATGGAGCTTATTTGACTAAAAGTTTAATCAAAATCGTAAGTTTGAGTATATTTAGGTGGCGGGAACCAAACCATCATTACGCACGCTGTACTGTAATGACTTTTAGTATGCAAACCACATTGTGTAGAAACTACATAGCTGATGCAATAAATAGTTCCTTAATGGCAGTTTACTAGTCATATTAATGCTTTTTATTATTTGAAAGAACTCAAAGTACGTTTTGAGTAAGTGAAACTATATCACAATATTTTGTAGCGACATGAACAACAATTTACAAAGATTGCACACAACAACAGCAATGAAAGTTTTATTTCAAATAGAATCACCTGTGAAGTGTTTGGCGTGAGTTCCATCCATGATTGGAATCAATTGCCCAACTGGAAATCCGGGCGCTGACAAGTCAATCCAAGACCACGTACTGTTTTGCAATACCCACCCACATATTGTTCGTTCAGAAAAGTCACAATGATAAGAATACAACAGTGTGTCCCCTGAAAAATACCAAGGTGTAATGTCTGTATTACGTTATGCGTTTTTGGGGACACGCTTTCCTTCTAACTACGTTTAACCCTGCCATTATTTGCAGATTCAAATTCCATGGGATATAATTAAGTACAAGGGTATTGCTGACTGTCTACTTGTCGAGAAATGGTTTATATAACCCGACCTTCTCCGCCATTGAAATAATTCACATGAATTAAACAATGCTCAAATATATGGACACGAGGACCAAAACGAAGTAGTATCAAATCTTTCTGGCCAACTGATCACTGCGATCCCGAAACCACGGCACGTACTTTTTAATTTTGATGACGTTATCACACAAAACTTCGAAATGAAAAACAAATCCTATTGAGCCCACAGATACTTTGGGACTAAACAAAAGTAATAGCCTCCTAGCGACAACAACAAACTTTAATCCTTGAAAATGTTAAAGCAATTGGACTAGTTGAAGAGAGAAGAAAGTAGTTGAAAGAATTTTCAACAAAACAACAACACAATAACAAAACGATTCATAGGTTCATTTCGTGTCCAATTGCTATTCTCCATCCGCGAGAGTAGCCGCAGTACAGGTCGTTGATAGCTATATGTGGAAGCTTTGATATCGATTTTCCAGCTTCCGGGACAAATATGAAAGTTATACCCTCCCATTACTAGGATTTGAGGCAAACAGAGAAAACTTTGGGCAATGATGTCAACCGTGAACACAGTACGCTCTACAAAATGTCATCCAGAATTGAATGTAGGTGTATGAAATGACGGCAAAAATTGAAAATTAGTTTTACGGTATCTAATCATCACTTCACTGTTTATATGTATAGTATTCATTATAACGTAAAATAATTGTTCGCAAGATACTATTGAACACTTACCGCAATTGTAGAGACGATTTACCTTCCTAACATCTGTCTCACTGAAAGTATGTTTTCTAATGGATAATTTGTCTTGTAATTGCATATCATTTGTTCTCATCGTTTTCGAAGATCCGTCCTTGCTGTTTATATAAAATTATCTCTTATAAACTTTCAATGACAATATCAGTAGTTTTGTAATATTACCTGAATGCTACGTCCTCGTAATGCACGAGGGAATCGAGATCGTAGGGTTCACGGAGATTGTCCAAGTGTATCATTTTGTCAAAATTGAAAGATTTGTCTGTATATAAAAAGAATCAACAGTCAGTGGGATTCGAGTTAAATAAGTTCTATACTCTTACTCAAAAACATTCTTCTCCACATCACTACACAAAGACAACTAGGTGGATTTTAGTGGCATTAAAAATATTTTTCATTGCACTTACTATTTATGTCGAGTAGAAACATAATTAGGCACAAAATGTACATATAGATATTTTTCCTAATTGTTGTTGTTGTTGTTGGTATTTTTTAAATGCTCAGCATTGTTGTCGCTGTCGTGGAAAATTGCCTTTCGACTGAACCAATTAACTTTAAATGTTTAGTACTTGAAGAAGGCCAATTTGCTAAAAGGTTATTCATTTCATGTATTTTGAAAGCTATCTGAGGTCTATCAGGCCGATATTTTATTCGAAAGTTTGCTTGTTAAATTTGAATTCCTGGCAATATTTTATGACATTTAAACTTCGTGCCCATATATATTTTAGGACAGCTCTCATGTTTTCAACATACCAGCTATTACATTTGACCATTCAATTGTTATATAATCATCTCTGTCTTTTCTGCTTTGTTCATGATAAAATCCAATCGCATGGAGGATTTCATGAATTGCGGTTCCTTTATATTGACACCCTGGTCCCATAGAAACGGTTTGGTTTCCGCCTACTTTCCCAACTCTGGACCAACATCTTGAAAAATAAGTGTTCGAAATGCAGTGTTAATATCATCTACACAAATTTCATTTGATGTGGTTAAGTATTCTTTATGGGCACAAGTGGGATAATATAATTGGGGGATGCTATTGTTCGAAACACGTTTACATGTCATTGATAACCATGGCTGCAAACATTAGCATCAACATTTTCAAATATTTTTATTTGAACCATAATAGAAATGAAAGCACAATAACAATGTTGGTGGAATATGTCAAACAATTATAAGATATAATACTGTAACTTCCATTTTGTGATACTTAGAAAGAAATGAAAAATATTGTTTTGATTTGATGAGAATGTTTTTGCAGGAAGTTACAGCCTGAGAAACCTATTTTTCGAGAGCAACTGGGTGTGAACATTTAACCCATTCACACCCACCCATTTTTTAACATTTATTTAAGATTCTTAGTCAAATTTAGAACTTATTCCAACCAATACATTGCTTATAAATAAAATGGATATCCTCGGTGAGTTTTATATGTCGTATGTATCTAATTGTGGACGTCTAGGAGTTCTCCAACTGGTTCTACAAGATATGTATTACCATACCCATTTGAAGATTCAACAGTAATGAAATCCATTTCCAATTCTCTGATCTTCACATTTATGCATGTGTTAAGGGCAAACTCAATTCTGGCGTCTTCCATGGCAGCTATAGCCTAAATTTTTTATGTTTTGCATAAGGGCAAGTAGCATTGGCCCCGAGAGAAGTTCAAAAGTAACGACAAAAAAGAAAGAACGACAAAATGGAATTTGAAAATAGAAGGATAAAAAGTAAGGTTTGCAGATTTCCCAACATTATCTATTTAAAAACATTTATTTGAATCGTCCTCGGTCTACAATCTACATACTATCAGAATCTAACTAGAATGAAGAAAAATGAAAACTCTAAAATTCAAGATATCACAGTATTATGAACAGACACTAACAGCTCTAAAAGTAAACACATCAAACATGTAGTATTCAATATAAGGCAGTGACCACTTACACCAAGACTAGCCGATGATCCATAAGCCATTGGAACAATCCCATTTGTCCAAAGAAGCGATGGCTCGTTCTGTGAATTTCTCGAGCTCGGTGATAGCAGAATATCTCCCTCGAACAGATTATCCAAGTCTGTAAGTGAACAAATATTTATAATGTATATCAGCGTAATTTAGTAGAACTAGCCAGAATCCTCTGTCAGAAATATGCATTATAATTTTCGGAAGAAAGTGGCAGTTATCATAGCCAGTAAAAATTATATCGTTGCTACCATCAAAACAGTCGGTGGCAAATACAGGACGCATGTGCGCCATCTAGCGACAATGACATTATCTGCTTGTTATTTTATTTTTATAAATGACGTATTCCGTTTATTTCGCCCAGAGATTAATCTTCTTAATTTCTGATTGTGCTGCTTTGAGCAATTGTTTTTAAATAAATGTGCTGGGTTTCGTTGTTTTTTGAATGAAATATTTTGGATCGTAACAAAGTACTCAAATAACAATGCGCGTTCTTATGAGATATTCCGGTACTCCCGAAGTGTGCGAACCAAGATGGCGGAACGTAGTATGTGTACCAGGTTAAAGTTAGGCCATAATTTCATTCCAATTTTCCTTGTTTTAGTTCTATTACGAATTCGGGGACTAATCAAGTGATTCCCATAGTATTTGTATCTGAAGTTATGGCCTAACCCTAACCTAGTACACATACTACGCCCCAGTGTCCGCCATATTGGTTCAATATTTCACTATCGCGTAATTCGCAACAAGATAAAGCAATTATAAGCGAGTGCATGTGAAATTTTAAAATAGAAAAAGACCATTGTATGCATCAGAAGCTTGCAATATATGATCGTTCATTTTTTGCGAACGATCAGCAGTATCCTTTGCGTGGCGCGACAATTTTCCAAAGTATAAAAATCGCTCAACTCTATCCTATTATGATTAGGATGTATGTATTTTTTGTTTTCTTCCCTTTACTTACGTTGCAGATGCCAAACTTCGAGAATATCATATGTACAATTTATGCGTAAAATTTATTGTCGAAATAAGCATTGTCAGTTTACTTGGTTGGGCTCGACCCGATCGGATCAGTTTACTACTGATTATTATTTGTAAAATAAATAAAAATAAGTTTTCATATTGTTGTTATACGGAAGCACTTGTTCCATTTTTTAAGAAAAAGTAATTGAGCTATTCCCTTTTTACGATTTGTCGAAGCAGTAATCAAAAGCCGAGGATGCTACCACCTTGATGTCTTTGACGGAAGTGTCCATGAAACAGACATTGGTGCTCGCATTGATATTTCTAACACGCTTAACGCGCTTTATTTTGTTCGTCCAGCAAGTGAAATCCAAAACCACATTTTTGCTGGCAAAAATCTAATTAGAAATTACCTCTTCAGTATTTTATACACCACAGAGAGTTTGTGTGATCGAACTAAAACTGGGCCAGGTTAGAACGATAAATACATCAACACATAAGGTAGGTGGAATAAGTCCGACTGATTCAGTTTCAACAGGAAAAGTACTGTATATTTCAAATTTGTTTTTTTGGTTTAAACAATTATTAGATCAGTACAAATGTTTTGTTTTATCGTCACTTCTATGCTAGTACCTCGATTTATCGATGTGATGTCCGTATTTGTGTCCAATCCATCACTTTTTTGTGAATCCGACAAACAACCCTGTGAAGAAAATAAATATTTTGTGTTTTTGATACAAAAATCGAATCTTGTTCAAACAGCAGAATTACGAATGCATAGCCATATAGTGTCTTTCTTTTGTATCTCACCTGAAATAATACTGCATACATTCCCAGAACAATTGAAGAAAGCATACTCTCGCTTTAGTGTCAACTCAATACTCAATGACTATGTTCCAGCAGCACAAATTTACATGATCAAATAGATAAAGTGAACATTTTGATTAGCTTTGTACAAACTATGAACGGAAATGATGATAAATCAACGATCGCTTTATGATTTATTTCAATTTCCTAAAAAATATATAAAATTTGTTGTAATTCACACCATAAAAGACAAAAAATTGCTACGAATTAATTAATAATCCAAAAATGAACGAGTTGAAAATTGAGCAGATGCATTATTTTTTCCCAACATACATTACTGAACGGCCTGGCTACCAATATCGGGACAAAGTGGCTAAATTACAATTATCCAACATGTAATAAATTGGGTAAGCAATGCAGTACCGAAAAGATTCCTTCCATTATATCAAATATAGTATCTCCTTATATATGAATGGATGAAAGTGCCTTGTTCAAAAAGCGTGTAGGGCCGCCGTATGGAATATATATATATATATATGAAACCACAGTACATCCTATTATTGAGAACGTTTATTCGCATTTCGTGTATAGGTGTAATTATTAGTTTCCAATTTGGCAAAACAATGACATGTCTTTATTTCCAACACAGATTTAAACGATGCATTAAAGATTTTTTGTACCGCCAAGACGGCAAATGCAACGATTACCAATTCCAACCATAGAAGGGCGAAAGATGATATATATTTATAAAGCTATAAAATAATATAACTTTATTAGACCAATAACATTAAGGCATAATTAACAAAATAAACACGACATATCTGAATACAAAGCATGACAATAAAACAAAGGAAATTTTTCATTTAATTTAAACGTGCAGTCGTATTTCACTGAAAAAATCACGTGTGCTACATGCAAATTAGGCGATATTATTGGTCTATTTGCGTAAATTGCAATCAAAATGTCAATCTGAGGTAATTCACCAAGCCTCGAATATGACTCAATTAAGAAACAAGTGTCGCCTAATTTTTCATGATTGACCACTGCGTCTTATTAATGACAACGGGAAGCAAGCTGATGCAATAAAAGTATATTTCAATATCACCTTAATCAATCAATCAATTATACGTCTAGAACGACTACATACATACATACACTCTTACAATGCAACCATTTTTTTTTTAATAACAATCTTATAAAATTAATTGTTAAGCCAAGTTAGTTGTAGAGTTTACGGGACATGTTGTTCTTATACAACGGAATCAAACCAGACTGTAGGTCGTAATGAGAAATAATTATCGCATTTCCCTTATTGTACTCTAAAAACGCACAATAACGACATTTCCTGTGAAATCGACTATCGATCGATCACGACACTAATGCATTGTCAAAAAGAAAAACGCATATTTTCTGTTCGGTCAGATGAACTTACGTCATTCAGTGTTTTCTTTTTGGGATAGTACAGATATTGCAAATATTGTCTTATGAAGCGCGTTTTCGGATGTTGAAAATAGCTGGTGTGTGGGTCACCACGGGGGCGTATTTCAACCAAGTGAGATGGAAATATTAAGTTTAAGCCCCAACTTGGTTTTTCAGACCGTTCCTATCAACAAGCAGAAGGTAATAAACATTAGGGTGCAACCAGTAGAATAGGGTATCATAATCAGAATTCTTCCTCCCCCGTATAGAGCAATAGTTGTGATTGGAATTTGATTACCTCGAGCTTTGGTTAGATAGTATCCATGAAAATACAGTTTTTGGTAGTTTGATGGTCGCTTACAGCCATTCTATCAGCACCTTTAGTACATGGAAAGAAGCTCAGAAAGCACACACACTTGAAATAAACGCGCGAATAAGGATGCATGCAGAGATTCACGTACACTTTCAATGTCTTTCATAATGGTACGTCATGACAATTTTTTTCCGAAGTTTTCGAGGCACAAGTCAGCCATTACAGTGAGAGTCGTGTACAGTTTTGAACTTTATATTCCCAATATTTCTGGATATTAATCAATTTCATCAATCGCGTGTCTGGATAAATTCAAAATTACTAAACGTCATTAAAATAGAAAAAAGCAACCGTTAGTGTTCAACATTTTTTTTCTTGATTAGCATAATAATATCTAAAATATATGCAAACTTAGACTATAATTACTGGGACAAAGTGATGCTCATGGTACAATATGTTCTCCAGTAATCAAAGTATTTGCAATATAATACTTATTATTTTAACGTCCACGTACTCCACAGAGGGTGAGTTCACTATTACTTCTATTTTATCTAAACTTACTTATCTGTAAAACGGTATTTGTGTGTTTGTAGAATATTTCTTATGAAAGTATAGCATATATATAGTGTAGAAAGTATAGCTAGATAGAAATCTATACTCCGTTTTTTAATAGTTTGGTCATACCCAAGTGCAATACGTTTTCTAATCACGCAAGTATATTGGATAATTAAATGAAGTTAAATTTAAAACAATTTAGGAAGGCTGTAATAAAATGTCACTACACGCGAAAAAATTGACGCCATAATACGTGGTTTCTAATCACGAAGGTCCATGACTCAATGCCGTAAACGTTAAATATTTTATAATTAAACATTTTATGGTAATGATAACGATTTTAAGACGTTGGCACTTAAATATTTTGGAAAATAGAATTAAGTCCAGTCTAGTCCAGTTCAGTCGAAAATTTGAAATTCACGAATATCCCTGCGAGACGCACTACTTTCTGGTCAATGTGGCTCATTGTTCACATTTGTTCCATCTTGCTTAACATTACTGACAAATAAAATTAGCATTTGTTTTTTCAAACTGAATAAGTCTATGATATAAAAGATCCTTAAATGATAAAAATATATATAATGTTGGATTCGTTTTAGTTTGGATAAATTAATATAAATATTATTTCCTTGTCTTTTTTAAAAATAAATTCATCATTAGATTATAAATTGTCAAAAAAACAATTCAATTTGTATTTAGGCTGAGATATAGTGGAGTTTTCAAAATTTAAACAAAAGGATTTTTTCAACTGTATTAATTGTTTTAACTTTTTGGGTATGAAATGTTTGGAACAAGAATAATTCAACTTGATTAATTAGATCAAACTTGATTTTAAATCTTTTTTAAATCGGTTGAATTTAAATAAACGTCTTTTAAAATGTGGAAACGAATTAAAAAAGAATGATATATACATTAAAATTGAATGTTGAACTAATAAGAGAGGTCAATGCGGCCGTGGTCATCATAAACCAAATGAAAAGATATTTGGAAGACGGGGCAAACTAGTTATCATTCCCTTTAGTCCTAATAATTCCAATCCAAAATTCACATCGTGTTGTTTAAGATACAGTAATTCACTACAGGTAAATATTTTCTGAGTCATATATACTACAGTTACACAACAGAATTTCTGTTCTGCTGGGACGGTTTCGTGAAATAGTATGCATGGCTCAGATGGCTGTATCAAGTATCAAACTTCATAAACCTAGTTGACGCGAATATATTTCAGGTACTATATAATTTTGCTGAGCAAACAGGATAATTTGTAAAACCGGCTACGGGCATTTTTTCTGGAGAATTGGCGCCAAATAGTTCAGATGGTTCGTCGTTTGGGTTAGAACTTTGAAAGGAACATTTTTCAGCGACCATGAGTTTATAAGTAATTCTTTTTTAATTTGTCTCCTATGAATAGTGTGGATCTGTGAGTGTGATACATTCACAAAAACACTCGCATATGTGCATTGTTTTGAATATGAGTAGCAACAAGCGTGAGCCAAACGTTCAAAAACATATAATATGCCTTACATTACATCAAGTTTAAGTGAGTACCTTACGTACCTTTACTGTGAAAATTATCCAAACCCAATCTTGAATATTTTCTACTTCTTTTTGCTTCATTTGGCGTGTCGTGATTGATCTGGGCCAACACAGAACAGTATAATGTCTCCAATAACTCGGAACCGATTAAACGCCTGTTTCTAATTCGTTCACCTTGAAGATGCCTCACCTTTGAATAATATTAAAAATCAAATAACTTGACTTTTCGACATCTAACACATATGAATGTCACATTCAGAATGTGACTAACATAACAAAGTTTCAATGCCGTAACAAGGCAGTAATGGTGGGTCATGCAAGTATTCTGATATCACAAACGAACGGGGATGCCCCTAAAACTGTGTCGTACTCGGGGCACCATCAACACCTTTATTTGGTCATCAATGAGGGAACAATTGAGGTGTATAAATACTAAATAGGCTTACCATACGCCCCGATTTAGGCGGGACGGTCCCACTTTTCAACGTCCCGACAGGTGAGCCAAAAGTCCCGCTTTGGCGTTGAGCCAGTCAGCACAATACACGAACATTACCAATTACTGAATGTGAATGCGTGGTTTTGTTTGTTCCGTTGTTTCAATCACTACAATTTGTTATGTGTAAGTTCCGTACGCCAAAAGGGTGCTTAACGTAAATTCCTTTCTATTTTTTAAACTGTAACCGATATTCAGACAGACAGCGCAACAACTCTAATGTCGACCCAGCCCCCAATGTTTGGAATGTGTAAAAAACGACGACTAATAGGAGCGACTAATAGCGCATAAAACTTTATGGCTCCGTCTCCGGATGCCGTCAAGTAAAAGCACCATGATTGTGACCGAATAAGGCGATTTTTTTACCTTACCCCCGACCTTTGACCTCTGTAAATTCTTCCTATAGTTGACCATTGAAAATTTTTCGATGCTTATTTTAGGAGTGGTTTTGCCAATTGGTCCCGGTAACATAGGGGATTTTTGTTTCAAACCATCATTCTGATTCATAGCATTCAACAATCTGTTTTTTAAAAGAATCGGTAAAGAATTTTAGCCTAGTCTATAACAGCTATTTCTACACTAATTTTTGATTACTGCAATTAAACTGAAACTCCTAAGAAGACAAAGTGATCATTGAATTATTTGATATTTATTTAAATATCCGAAACACAACTAGAAACTAACGAATAGATTTCAAAAACGCGAAAACGACGCCTGAAAATCTGTCTGAGCGAGAAAAATGTCTGAGCGGATGCGAACCTAAGTCAATTTTTGCATCTTGCTGATTGGCCAATGTCATGAAGTAAACAAGGAAGTCGATGCTCGGGGAAACATCCATTCAGTCCGCAATTTCCATTTGAAGCCCTTGTTTCTGGCGAATTCTGACATATTCAGTTTCGATTTCTAAAAACATTCTATATCACACATATATACCAATTTTTAGAACATCGGTTCTCTTAGAAACTCGCGTTTTGCGGCCTCCGGCGAGACCACCTGTTACAGTCAAACTTGGCAATTACAAGTTTCATGGTGCTTCCGGAGTATATGTACCAAGATGACGCACAACCTGACCATAGTATGTGTACCAGGTCGGGATTCAGGTTGTGCGACATCTTGGTACACATACTTCCGGAGCGCCAATTTTAGAACCACCCCCTCTTGAAAATTCCTGGATACGCCCCTGTTCTATATGGCTTTATTTTAATTTACGAGAGTAACATTTTATCAATGGAGCTAATGTTTCCGAAATGAATTGCTCGCACAGTCTACGCCTACGGGGACTGAAAAATGGTTTATGCATAAACGGCATTGGCTTTCGAGAACTAATAAGTCGATATCAAATTAATAAGCATCTCATATTGTTTATATATCGTGGAGCAATGATGCAGGTTAATTAATTAAAAAAATCTGCTATCTTAGTGACTTTTGTAAATCAATTGCACTCGCTTCGGAGGACCATAATCACATGTGGTGTGCTTGCATAGCTCATCATACAACATATTACATAATTATTCAAACACCGGTTGCTTTGCAATATTTCAATAAGGGGCCTTCTGTATCATCGTTACCTGTTACTATTAAATTTGTACAATAATCGAAAGAAGTGGTTAACCAACCTTACAATTGAATTGTAGAGTGGCAACATTAGTAGAAATCAGCATATATTAAATCCAGAATTATTAACAATCGATTACGTATATCATTAAATCAGAAGTGGATAACCCACACTTCAATACATCACGCCAAAATAAATTATCTTGCAGGCATGACGGGGCCTAAAATTTCCAGACAGTCATTGCTCAATTAGTGTCTTTAATATGCAATGAATACATATTTCGCAAACACTATCTTGCCGAGAAAAGCCTTATCACTCAATATCCACACCTAGTGTATATATACGACTGACGACTGAAGTTATAAGACAAAAGAATAAGAACAGATGTCGTCAGTAATGTTTCATTCAGAATGCCATCACTACTAAAAATTTACATTATTACATTTACATTAGCAATTATAAAGTCAGGTTTCGGAAGCCAAATATTTTAATTAATTTTATTCAATTATTATATCATTCCAAATAGGCAAAGCTTGTGCCGAACAAAGATGCCTTAATGGAGGGACTTGTATAAACAACATTTGCATCTGTACCAAAGAATGGAAAGGCGATAATTGTGAAAAGCAGGTGAAAATGGGTGAGTAACAAGTTTACATATCAATCTCGAAATGTAATCTTCTCCATCGGAAATAGTTACATGGGTTTTTCTAGGGTCCTCTTTTTTCGGCATATTGTTCAATTTTATTGTCGTATTTAGATATGTAAGTTTCGAATATTTTATTTTCGAATCAGATTGTACCCAATCGAATATTTCCGAATCGGATACTATTATTGAACTCAGGAATTAATAAAGTTAGTAAAAAAATACGTTCAAATATCCAATCTGTTAGGTATGAGAAATTTATTTTTTGTCACATAGGGCTACACTCGATTATATATTTATTTTTCATTAAACAAATTTTCGTTTGCAAACAAAACTGGGCGTATAATGATTTTATTCCTTTAAATTGTCCTTCAAAATTCACCCAAATGATAAATGTTACATGAATGTGCTTTGGTATCGTTTGCGTCATCAATTCAGAAGAAATCAACGATTACGAGTGAAACATCGCAGACCTGTGTTTTAAGGAATAATGCAATGATGTTGTTATTATATTGATACTTGTTTACTAGCGTTCATATAATGTTATACTTGTGAGTGAAACTACTCAACATTTCAGGTACTCGAACAAAATTGAGCAAATGAAGTGTTACGACTTGGGAAAGGCTGTAGGGCAAGAAGAATAAGCGAAAATACGATTTTGGTCAATGTTTGGGCAACGCGCTGCGTCGTGTCGTGTCTCTTCTGCCAGCAAACATGTTGGCAATTTATTTGTTGTGAAATTAATGACAACACATCTCCGGTTTTCCCAAAGGAAATCATTGTATAAATGAAATTGATTAAAAAAGCCCAAAATGTTTAAAAAATGACAGTAGTGATGATGGTGACCATAACTTTTTATTGATCACTCAGACATTAATTTGTAATAATGACGTCACAAATACATTACATGCATCGCACATCAAAATTAGAAAAAAAAAAAGTAAAACCGGTCAAAATTTATTTTTGATCGCACGATAAACTGTTTCTCCAGACATCGAAACAGTACAAAAATTATAAAATATCAGTCAGTGCACCCATGCTTTATTAAAGCTTAGTTGTTCGTTTTGGCATTTGCTCAACTTGAAATTGGATGACTCTCAACTGTGATTCATTGTCATCATTTTTCATGAAGCGATTGATTAAGATGTGTCGCAATGAAATGTCAAGGCCTGTTCAAGCTTTTAAATGTAGTAACACTATGAGTATTGATTTGTATTCAAAATCTATAAAAACGAGAAAACAGCCTTTTACTTTTATATTACGAGTTTTTGTTAAATTCTTGGGTTTCAACTAACTCTAAGCATAAAAACATAACAAATGGTTTTTTTTTCGTTTTGTTTGATCAGAACTGACGGACATGGTTATATACAGATAGTGGTTTAAAATGATTATTTTTGTTTCCCCAGAGTGTTCAGAATTGGAAGGTTGCAACCATGGAGGCACATGTGTTGATGCTGTTTGCCAATGCACAAGATTGTGGACTGGCGGAAATTGCGATACAAATGTGCACGGTATTTGAATTATTTTTCAGCGAGCCAACACTTTTTCCAAAAAATTTTGGAAATAAATATTAGTTTTCAGTAAATAATTCTTTTCTTAAAATGCATATATATTTTTCAGACACCGTCTTTTATCAAGGTTACATGACGTTCGAGTCCCATCGTTATTCGTTTATACCGGACCCTTCTACGTATTCGGATGCTCAGAAACAGTGTCAAAAACTTGGTGGTCGCGTTATCACTGAGCCATTTAGTTCTTCTAAACAAAGAGCCTTGTCTGCTTTAGTTAAACAATACTTGCCAGAGGTAAAATGAAACAGTCTTGTGAAATATTTTGCACTTTTTGTGATCTGTTACATATATTCGGGTTATGACAAAAAACTTTTTTCAGGGTAGAGCAGGTCGTTGTGGCAGTCATAAAGTAGGTTGATTGCACCCCGGTTTACGGCAACAAAATCGGTATCATATAGCACTTAAACCTATTATTTTTTCCACTCGACAAACAAATATATTGGTTTATGGTTTTAATATTTTGAGAAATGTTTGTATATTTTAAATGTTCCTAACAATGTCGTATCCCATCATTTGGTAGTAAAAAAATCTCATGATTCTCAAATTTTCCAAATCGAAAATATTTTAAAACTTTAAAATTTGGAAAATTTGTCGACCAATGTTACATTTTCAATAAAAATAATTGAATAGCAGAATTTTATGACCATAATCTATATGAAAAGAGAAACAATCAAATCTATCATTTTTACGTGCAGACAGAGGACTCCTGGATGTGGGTTGGACGATTACAAGGGACTGATAAATGCACAACGATACCACCTGATTTTGCAACAAATAACTCACAAAATTCTTGTGATAACAAGTTCAGTTATGTTTGTGAACGACCATTAAAAGGTAAATATAACTAGCAGAAATATTTTGTACGAGATAATGACGAAAACAATCTCTTGCGCGCGTTTAAAAAACTAGGGCCTCAATATGGAATCATAATCTATAACAATTTTACGACAAATAGCAACTTTCTATCATCTGTAGCAAATAGCATCTCATAGTCAAGAGATTCTGAACGAAGTTTAATTATAAAAAAGACTATATCTATTATCAGATAACGTCATGACGAGCCATAGCATTATGACTCAATCACGACAAATTATTATACATCATTATACTTGCCTTGCCTTTACAAAAAAGCCTAATAATTACTAGCAATGCATTTTTATGATGTCGCCACTGCTATTGTCATGATTAGATACTAATAAACTCACTTGCCGAGTAGAACACGATTCGGATGAGGCCTATTTTACAAATTTGTATTTCTTTTAATTTATCCAGGCGCTTGTTTCCAAGAAGTTGCTGATGAATACTGCTCAGATAATGAGGACGGATATTGCCATCAATCGCTATCTGGGATCGTATGTTGTAAAGAAAATTTTAAAATGCTAGCCAACGGGTCTTGTGTCGATATCAACGAATGCCAAACAAATTCAGAATTGTGTTCATTTACATTTGGTAAATGTGACAACGAGCCAGGTTCTTACAGATGTCTGTGCGATGAGGGTATGCAAGGAAATGGGATTGATTCGTGTGGATGTGAGTTAATAATAAAAGTTTAGGGTATCCGTAAGTTTTCGTTTAAATCCTATAGTAGGCTATATAACATTTTAAAGATTATGTTTTACTTTATCAGGTTGTATTATATGTAAACAAAACAACTATCTATTGCGCAGAAGTTTCTCGGCCATATAGCATGTTTCATTGAGATTCTGCTCTATCAAGGTGGTTGAAAACCATTGTCGTACATAATGATGATTAAACGAGAATATCGGTCGGAGACCGAAGACTTATCGATCTTAGATCGGTAATTAGTTAATAACTCGCTAATTATACGACATAATTAACCAAATCTATAGGCTTCTGGTCCGAGGTAAGATGCATGCACATGTAAAATTTGGAGCAGATTCAACCACGCGTTCGCGAGATATCGCGTTCATCTAACAGACACACAGACATACAGACAGACATACATACAGACAAATACCTATCAATATACTTACCGATCTTAAGATCGATAAGTAAAAAGCTTTGAACTAGAGTCGGTCAGTGGGAGCGAAACGTCAATCTAAAATATCGAACGAAATAATTTTAAGTGGTACAAAGCCCAATGGGGCGGAGGTCGTTGTAATATGTTCATGACACGATCAATATTGAAGCTCTTATTCATCAGTAAACAAAGTTTTATATGAAGTAAAGTAAATTTTTCATCATAATTCATATACCCAATTTTTGAACGTTGCAGATATCATATCACTGACTCAACTTGTCAACTACACTGAACTGACCATGCCAGCACCGGAGAGGAAAATAAAAAACAAAGAGAATCGTCTAAGAGATTTGTACAACAAAGGATTAACACTTAAAATAGAGAAATTGTCTTTCACCAGTATTACCGAGCTTGAAAACAAGCAGTTCAACATAACTTTCAATATCTATAGCAAAGACAAGGATTTTACGCCGACCGCGTTGATTGAAGATTACATGAAAGTAAAATTGAAAATGTTAGAAACTGCCCCAAATAAATTGATGTTTGTTGGATGGGAAAAACCCAAGCCAGGTAAAATTGAGTATGAATAAACGTCGTTCTGATTCTCAACTGCGCTTGTTTTCATATATGTATATAGTTATATATGATTTTAAAATACAGAGCAATTGAGCTTTAATAGCAATCTATAGCTCATAATCAACGCCTGTGTATTAATTACCTGGTGTATTTGTATGAGCAATATGTCCTTTTCGGAAAGTGTAAGTCCTGGGCATGTCTGACCATGGTTCAAATCACTCGTATAGTATGCGTTCATTGCATCTATAATTGGGCACAAAATGATGAATCGTTTTGTTATTATCATGTTTTTTTTTAATATTTTATTCGTTTTTTTCTCTGTTCATGAAAAGTAGCTTTTCTTATTAACTACCGGAGCAATTGCTTTGAAATGCTCAGTGGTTGTAGACTGTAATTTTTGCTGAAAGGCTATTACTTTTATTTATTTCAAAATTTTTTGTGGGCTCTGTGGGATTCGTGGGATTTTTCCTTGCGGTGACGTCATAAAAACTAAAAATTGCGTACCTTGTGTAGTGTAGTGACCAGGCGAAGTCGTGAAGACTGCGGTACTGGTAGTCTATGAGACAGATTGCGTATCCGTACTACTTCTTCCCGGCTTTCGTGTCCATATATTTGAGCATCGCTCTCGTGTTAATATTTACATTGAGTAAAGTGCATTTGCAATATTGTTATTGTAATACATTTTCATATTTGCGAATTTTAGGTTCCCTGACATGTTTACCGACGAAAATGGGGATTGGAGATGATCGTTTTCATTTTCATAACGCTTCTGCCAATTCGTTTTCCGTTTCAAAAGAAAAGTGTTCAAATGGTAAATGATTGTTATTCATTTTTTTTTTATCAATAGCAAGCAACTGAGGTCATAATACAATATACGTATATTACTTAGGCAACATTTTTACACGCTCCGATGTTATTTAAACTAATATCACAACACAATGTAACGCATTCCCCAAGGCCTAAACATTACACTTGCAACATATTAACGAAGATGTTAATGACCGATTTGTAATACTATGTGATTCTTTCATGGTATTATATAATTATTTAAGATCTCTTTTGTTACAAGATCTCTGCACTAAATTCCTATACCATACCTTTCAATTTTCATCATTCAAGCACTTAACAGTCACTCGTTATAGACACATCTTCTCGTTGCAGGTTTACCTCAAGCTGTTGTCAAATGTAACGTACGAAAATTTGGAGATGGAACGGAAATTGCATTTTATGACTATACGACATTAGAACGCAACCCATGCGGAACTGTAAGTACAAAGATAGATTCTGCTGTTGCTATTTACTTTGACAAATGATTTAAATAAAGTACCAAGCAAAAAAAAGCTGAGGATATCAGATAAATCAGGCTTTTTATTTGACTTAGTGATTGGAGCGAAAATTCTTTTCGGTCTTAGAGCCCTCAGTTCATCACAAGTTTTAAGATACGTTGGTACATTGAATTCAAACTGTGCAACTTAAATCTGCTTCAAACACTACGATGCTAGTTAGCAAGCAAATTTTCGGGACATTCAGAACCACTGCGATTGGAACAACTTTTAACCCTTCAACCTCTAAAATGCGAGGCAATATAAAAAGAAAAATTAAATATAATCATTGGAAAATGGGTTTGTTATAATACATTAAGACGATACCACTTTGTATGAAAGTATATGATTAATGCATTACGAGTGAGCAAAATTTATTGTTAACAGAAACCTACTTGACAGCAACTGAATATTTTGGTTAATTAACACCAAATCGTTACTCAAATGTTTAAGTATCCAACCATATAATCTGGAAGACAGGAATTAATTTTTTCTAATTTTTGATGTTGGACATATTTAAAATTTCATGTTCATATTTAGCCTACTAGCGTGGAGGAATGGACAACACGTATGAAAATCGGCGGAAAAGATGAAAAGCGTGATGCCCTCCTCAGTCTAACAGAATTCGTTAACGAAGATAAAACAAGAAAGGTGAATAATGACAAACTGAATTAAAATTCTACAGTTAATTATGCTTGTATAAATTATTAGTAAGATGTCTCTACAGATATATACACAATAGGATTGGTGAACACGCAACATTCCATGGCATATTGTAATTCTTTTAACTAAGTTACTGTTTAATGTTTGTTGGATCGACTGTTGTTGAGTATTTATTTTATGATGACATGCTGTCTAGATCCATATATCGTATACATATTCTACAAATGAATACAAATGAAACAGGCTGACAGTAAGACAGAAGCACAGCTTTTCAAAGTCTAACTATCAATTAAATTTAGTAAAATTAATTATCATATGCAATACAGCAACTCACAAAAAACTCGAATAGGGCTTGAATTTTTTTTTTGGTAAAGTATGCGTGGAGTGTCTGTGGGAGCAAAAATCGGGAAAGCCTCCATTGTTTTGAATTATTGTCAATGAATGTGCTTTATTTTGATATCAATATTAGATTTCAGATGCAGGCCTCAAAGACGTTGTTGATATTGCGGATTCGTTGTTATCAAATGATGAAAATTCTGAAACCCCTGACACTGATAAAAAATCTTCAGAACAAAACAAAATATAGGTGTTGCACTATCAGTTGAATCTCTGGGAACCAGGGTGAAACTCGAACCGAATGAAACTTTTCGTGTGAATTCATCTTTGATTGACATGCAAGTAGAACAGGTAACGTATAGCAAAGGGAGAGATTAATTATTCGCCAACTAGCCCAAAAAAGTCATGTTAATATTAATATGAGGATGATAATAAAACGAGAATATTGGTCAGAGACCGAAGACTTATCGATCGAAAGTTAGGGGATTCCTTAAAACAGCGCTCTTACTCCATAGTGACACCTTGTGTCCCATCACTAATTAATTAACAACTCGCTAATTATACGACATGATTTGCCCAAAATCAATAGGCTTCTGGTCCGAGATATGATGAATGCACATGCGAAATCTGGAGCAGATTCAATCGCTTTCGTGAGATATCACGAACAAACAGACAGACAACTACCTATCAACATCCTTACCGATTAAATTCGATAGGTAATAAGGCAATACGCACAATGTTTCTTTAGTATGAACTGAAATAAGCGATACGATCATCAGAGTCAGCTCCCATCGTAATTGTAGTAGATCCAAAGTAAACGATGACTATTATAAGGCGATTATATATTCTAGAATTCTGCATTTCGAAAAATATAAAAAAAAAACAATCTCGAAAAAAACAAAAAAAGACAGGTTTAGAATGTAGCCATTTTGTAAATGGAAAATTTATACATAGAATTTGCGAATACATGGTAAGTGTTGATTTTAGTTGCATTTGAACAAATATCGTAGATTACTGGAATAGGGTGTTATCAAGTTATTCTGTGTTGGTTTATTTTGATTAACTGAGAGACTGACTTCATTTTCCCCACTGTTTTAAACTCTGGGCTGTGTTCTCAAATATGTACTAATTGTTTATTATTGTCATGATTGCTATACAACCCAATTTGTCATACATCACACTCATTCTTATAATTAATCATGTTTTTAGTTTTTTGCTAGTCTTGTTTGGCTATTACAATTGGCTACTAATTAGTATATTAGTGCAATCTTCTGATTTGACCCATTATTTTCGAAAATATATCCCAGTCTTAACTTACTACCTCTCTAGTTACATCAGATGGAATATAATTGATTATGAGTAAAACGAGGAGCTTGGATACATATTTTATATACTTATTATGAATGAGCTTTAAATTTGCTCAGCTAGAACCATGCATTTGAACTCATTCCTTTTTTATTAATAGTTTATTTCATGGTGAAATCACCCAGTGTAATGAGAATCACAGTTGGACCTTTAATTTTCTGCCAGTACTGATTTTAAAGCTATTTTCGTTTCCAAATTTTTTTTTTTTTGCAGTAATAAAATTACCGATCTTTATTTTAAATATTAAACCATTTTTAATTATACTTGTTGACGATATTGACTGTAAAGTGTAAACAGTGATAATATGTTATTGGAAACTCTCGATAAAACTTGTATGTGAAACCAAAAATATTCTGTGATTTTTTACAACATGCGCTTGATTTTATGTTATTCTACAACATTCTTACGATACCAATCAAGAGTGTTTCCAGTGATACAAAAGCTGTGGAGTTATCCACACACAAAAATACTTTATCTGGTCGTCTACGGCACATATGGTTGCAAAGAAACGGCATAATACACCAGTATATTTAAAAACCGAATAGTGGTTCAGTTCACTTCATAAAATCATCCTAGTGTCCTAAGAATTGTTGAATGACGTACATTTTATCAACAAATCATTGATACAAATCATACCGATTTTTCAGCACTCCATTTCTGAAAAAAATGCTGGAAACGTTGACTTTACTCTGGGAGAAATTAAAGCCTCTTTGCCAGAAGAAGCAATTGAACAAGGATCGTCACAAAATTCTGCGGAATCTATCCCAGTATCATTTACTGTTTTCAAGAACGCAGACTTTTTTCAAAATGACAAGGATGTCGTTATAGACAAGGTACAAACACATGTCATTTGATTTTGAAAGACCAATTGTAACTCTCCTTGACAAAATTGATTTCTTCCTTGGGGGGAAAATGTAAACTGTTTCATGGCAGAAATGTTTTCCAATGTAATATTCAAAAAGTACAATCATTACTTCAGGTGTTTTCTTCGAGTGTTGCAAACACAAAAGTTGAAAACTTGGCCAAACCTCTATGGTTTCAAATGCCGGAAATTGATTCAAGGAGCAATGTAAGAAGTTTGATATCTGCTTATTGAATACAATGAAAATATGATGGATAATTATGAGCAATATTTATATTCTAGAATAGCCGACAAGTCAAATCAATCAAATGTGCTTTCTTCGACGTGAACAAAAATGAATGGAATTCTGATGGATGTTCGTATGTTCCGGGATCAAATCCACCTAATTGTACTTGTAATCACTTGACTTGCTTTGCTGTACTTGTGGTGAGATATTGCATAATATTAGTGGCAGAGTTCTATTGTGCCTAAAGTGTATGAAGATCAAAAATCGGGATTCCTGTCTCTGGTTTCATTCCCATGCTCATTCTCTTTTCATTCATGAGGCTCAAGTTATTATGGATAATATCAGTCTATTTTGCTTTCTCTTTTAGGGATTTGAAATATTGAAAAATAAAGTTTGATATTAATCGGATTAAGTTTTGCTGTTGCTTTCAGAAAACTAACAAATTATCGGATCCCTACGCTCTCGAAATCTTTGGACAAGTCGGATGCGCACTTTCAGTAATTGGACTCATTCTAATGCTGGCTTGTAATTTATATTTTCGGTAAGTTTTAGGGCTATGTTATCACAAAGTTGAATAGACAATAAATAGTATTAAAACAAAAAAAGTAAAGCGGTACAAAGGGATAATTCACAGTTACTTCCGTTTAATTTTGTTTACCAAAATTTACAGGTCTTTAAGAAAAATGCTGACAACTCAAATACACACCAACCTTGGATTCAGTCTTCTTGTTGTATACATCACATTCTTAATTGGAATAGAAAGAATTGAAAAAAGAAATCAATGCATAGCAATAGCAGCAATTTTACAATTTTCTTTGCTTTCCACTTGGGGTTGGATGACTGTGGAATGCGCCACAATGTACAAGTGGGTATGATAGTGAACATACAAAGAGTAATATTTTCTGTTAATATGGTAAAATATTGATGTAATTCTAATGAATAAAATTTCGAATCTTTAAGATTAGGCAAACAAGATAAGCTTATTAACACAATAATATTGAAAAAAATTTTTTATCAGAAAACTTGTGTCTGTGTTCGGCTCTACAGGACCATATTATATCGTAAAAGCGGCAATTATAGTATATACGTGTTCTGCTCTAATCGTTGTGATCAATGTTGTAGTCACAATTGGCTGGTACGATAATACAACATCAAGTGGCTGGGTTTCGCTGGAAAATGGAGGTACGACAAAGCTACATTGTTTTCTTGCTACTGTGGACACTATTGCACTTTAAATCATATATTTTTCATCTTTTAGTTGCCATATCCAATCCATCGTCTTACATTAGTGATCGCTTATGTTGGCTTCACGAATATTCTTTGATATTTGGTTTTCTGGTTCCTATTGGGATCGCCTTTGTTGTTAATATCCTGGGATTTATTGCTATAACAAAAGCAATTACTTGTGATCGAAAACAGGTTAGTATGCTTTTCATTAGAGTAGTATTTGAACGTATGTACATACGATACCGCGGAAATATTCCTATTGCATTGATTCTGTAAAATGGTGGCGTACGCAGGATTGCGCTGAGATAGGCTGCATGGGGATTAGGGACTTCAGAAATTGAATTTTGTGACGTCATAATAGGGTTTCATATTTTTTATTTTTAACTATAGGGAAAACCCTTTGTCTCTCTCAGCAGGGTAGTGATTGTCAAAACTACATTCCGTTTTTTTACGGCATCATCGGGAGTTCATATGAAATTGACACCAAGTGACTCGTCGGAAGGTGGTCCTCTTGTTTATGCTCGGGCATCGAAAAAAATGTTGTGCTTTTGATCGATTTAGGACCTATATATATTAGGGTTTGCTATAGCCTTTAAAATGTTTTTGAATAGGCTCGAATTGGGGGAAATGAACATTTCAGCTGTGTTTGACATTATAGCAGGGCCGCCGTCTGATTTTTTTAGCCTATATACAATTGGTTCCGAATTTGGAAAAGTTCCAACATGTGCGAAATATTTATTTTGCTTATTCAGTCCATTTATTGCTTTGTAAAAGGAGATATATCAAATCTAAAACTCAAAAACATGTTTCATAGATCCAGTCAAGTTCGTCGCAAAACAAAACTATGGCTGAAGAAATCAAAACATATTTAGTGCGAGCTGTAATATTGATGTTGATACTCGGACTGACTTGGTTATTTGCTATTCCATTAGCAATATCAGATGATGTTACCACAAATATTGTTTTTGGTTGGCTTTTCTCAATCACAAATGCGCTACAGGTAAGAAATGTATATACGGATCGTTTTGCTATTTTTTTTGTTGTTGCTGTTTTTGTGAAAAAAAATTCGCTTTTCTTCGCAATTAGTGCAACAATCGTTTTCTAATTTCCAACTATCAATGATGGAAAAAGTCGTTCGAAAGCTATTTTTATTTCATCTGGGTCCCGTGGGGCCGATATTTCGCTGAGATTCGTATGTAAAATAGTCCCAACATTATATTATTAAAAGTGGTGTGTATCGATATTTTCTCTTCAGTTTCTTGATTGCGATGCAGATATACAGTTTTTCTTTTCTGTATTTTTAATAAAATCACGCAGCAATAATATGATTCACTCTGTTCACTTGCACCTGCTTAATATTTATCAATACCATGTAAGCAATACCAGGGTAATATTCACACAAGCGTTGTTTTTCTTCCAGGGTTTCTTTTTGTTTTTTCTCTTTTGTATTCGACGAAAAGACGTCCGTGACTTGTGGATTAAAGAACTAACAAAACCTTTCAAAAAACAAACGCAAGAAACGTTGTCGACTACTGGTAAGATGATGGAATTAAGTATTAAAATAGATATCTACGATCTTATTCATGTGTTAGATAAAATTTCGTGCGCTATGGCCTAGTTGAAAAAGCCTTATATAGGGTATAATAAACAGTTTAGTCCACGATAAACACAAAGATTCAGTTCAAAATGAAGTACCTCATAATGAATGCTTGTGTAAAGCCTTGTTCGTACCGTATGAAAAAATTATAGGCTCATCTTATTCTTAACAGATATTGTAAAATAGTTTGCATTAAGTTTTCGTTTAAAAAAGAATTAAACATCATATTTTTTCACTACACAGCCGGAATGAGGACGGAAAGATCACCAGTACATAATACAAGAAACAGACAAAAAGATTTTGCGACAGGAAATTTGAAAACAGAAAGCAGCAAAAGTGAAGGGCAACACTTGCAAACTTCTATGTAGTAAATTTACTATGTCATCTGCAGCCATATATACAAGCCAGGAAACGCATCAATCTACAATGGTTTCAAAATCGATTCCAACTTCCTTACACTTTTGCTGTAGTAGTATGCATTATTTCGTTATTCGGACCATCGAAAAAGATGTCATCGACGTCGTATTGCGTAATTCCTATTTCATTTTGTGAGAACTGACAAACAACAGTAGTTGAGTGAAATAAAATAGCCAGCCAGAGTGTACAAAGCCTTTAAATAAGATGTGAAAAATGTGTTGTGTATGAGATCAGTATTTCTCAAATTGTGTTGGTGGTAGTACGTGTAATTTAGGTTTTAAAAAACTTGAATCTTCAAGAAGGTTTGAAAATGAAAAATAGTTTGAGCTTTTCTTAAAAAAAATGGCAATAGTTGTTAATAAAGCTGGCGTTTTGCGTTATAAATAATAAAACACCAATTAGATGTCATCTACTCGCTAAGCTGTTCTATAGTCGAAGGTAACCTTCCGATTAAAAAACTTTAGCATCTCTTTTAAGAAATGAATTGCTCAGTCAGTTCATATAAAATCGTCACAAAGCTTGCAATAGCGTATTTATTCCGGGAAATGTTCTACGATTATGTACCTGCTATGCTAAATCAAATTTCTCACGTCCTATAAATTTCAAGTTGTCGTGAATCAGCGATTATTTGAAATCGTTAGCTATCGAAACGAACGCCTCTTACTGAATTTCCGTGTAATTGCGTCATCCTAGCAAAATTGAATATTTTTTTATATATTCAAAAACAATGTTAAATTCGATTTTTACATGGGCTCGTGTTATGCTGTTTTTCTGTGCCAATCTGACCGTGTTCCATTGAGTTAATTGAAGGACTTGAGACTTAATTGAAGGACTAATTGAATTAAACTCCATTGATCCATTAATTGAAGATTATAGAATATTGGATTCAATATATCCAAAAAAGAAAAAACCTTGAAAAAGCACAGTCGTGTTACTGATATAAGTTCAAGTCGATTTCCCGCCCGCTTCATATCATGGCGGACTCCGATTGTTATCTTTTCTCATAATGGTTTAAATAAAAATATAATACGCAAATTATGAGCAAAGAAATCTACGGTGAAATAGTTATCATGTTTATTACGCGTTAGTGTTAGTGAGCGTTCTCATTATGCCAGAAGGACAGGCTAGTATAGCATAGAATATAGATCAATAACGCACTTTTTTGGAACAAATATTATATGCTAGTGCGTTCTCTTTTTGCTCAGACTCTCGAGTTTTGCTTTATATTGATGCCAGTTATACCACAGGAAAAATTCTCACAGTTTGTTTGCTCATGGAGAACACGGACCGGTGTTAACTATACCCCGCGGAGTTGTCCAGGGATCAGTAATAGATCCTTGATCTTTCTTGTCGTTGAAAATGATTTTTAGGATGACTTAGGACTCGATAATACGCTGCAACGAGCCAACAAACTAGCAATGCATGATGACAAATCCAACGTAAATCAGTCCGAAATCGCGTATTGAATTGAACCAGTATATACTCCGTAGTAATGAACGCTCGTTAAAACATATCAGTTTCACGATCAAATGTATGTAATCTTAAATCTCCCTTAATTTAATAGCGAATAGACGTGATGCATCAGTGGCGACTCAAAATCCCGCTTTCTCAAATCTATATAGTTGCCACATAAAGCGGTAAAAAGGGTTCAGACAGGTGGCGCTAAAGGGTATATGCAGAGGATGGTAGGTTGCATGTATAATCGCTATATGCATCAAAAAAACATCCGATGAAATCAATATTTTGTTTTCACTTTTCCACCAAACAACCACTTTCTACTTCCTTTATGTGGGGTCAATGGGATTCGTGTTACAATTCGCAATTTGACTTGATGACGTCTTCAAAATTAAAGTTTGTGTACCGTATTAATGTTCCGCGATCGCATTTGAGCGATCTGGTAGTCAGACTACCGACACTGCAAAGATTTGATACTACTTTGTTTTGACCTTTTTCCATATATTTGAGCATTGTCTCTTGTTTATTTTTACTTACTCTATTACTTAAAATTATCTTATGTTTCTGAACACTCTTATTTACCAAGTTGATATCAAACTCCAAGTTTACAGTTTTGTTACATATGCAGAATAATACACAAAGAACATTTGTTTGAAAAAACCTTAAAGAACGGGAAATCACAGCTGATAACGAGCGAATTTTAATAATAAGTAGAGTATTGACTATATCGAGGCTTAATACTTCCAGTTCCAAAAATTTGCCTGATTCAAAATCTTTCATTATGATTGCGGGAATAGTCAATCCAGACGTGAAGTAACGTCTGAATAAGCTAAATTGTGATCACATGTTTCGGGTCATCAGACAATTGTTGCATTATAATAGCAATCAGAAATGTGGGAACAAGAATTGTTGAACACGGAACTATTTACTTGAGAAAAAGGTTATGATGAAACCGTAACGAGAGAATTGTTTTAGGTAAGTGAACACTGGTAAACTTTCAGACATGAAGACACGCGAAATAAGTGTTGGTACATACAGTATTCCTATCCCTAACTGTTTATTGCAGAAAATTTTATTGCCTCGTGTAGTCAAATTACGTTCAATTTAATAGAAAAAAATCAAAACTATAAATTATATAGAATATTGTTATACATGAATATGAATTCAGTTACAGTCAATTTGAGAAACATTCTTAACTGTTCCAAAAACATTTGATTGACCTAAAAATATCATTGTTTTGTAATATGGTCAAACGGTAATTAGTATTTAGTAATATTTAGAACATGATCTAGTTTTTCACGAAAAATTAAAACAAGAGAATTTTGTATCCTACTAAAAGCTATAAAAAAATGCGTTTTCGCCGAACAAAAATTTCACTTTTATAACACCACGATAGTTTAACCTGGGTTCGATCGAACCGTTAGGGTTCGATGGAGCTGCTACCGGAGACAAAGGTCCTCTCAAAAATGAGCTGTTACCGGAGACAAAGGTCCTCTCAAAAAGTTGGTACACTTTAAATGACTGTTACACTTTAGATTCCAGTTACACTTCATCGAAAACAAATATCTTCATATATTTCGGACGCTTTCGTGTACTTTCTATTATAGCGCTTGTTGATGCTTTCTGCATACTTATGAGCACGAAATATCTTAAGTTGTTTTACCTCAAGTAAAACGGACAAGTCGAAGATATAAATTAAGGGCACTGGAACATAAATATAAAAGTCATAAATTTGTGGTAAAGAATATTTTATTGTATAGCTTTGCTTAAAATTATCACCATTCTTTCTGGACATCCTCAATATGGCGTTGGGTCACATGATATATATTACTGTAAAACGATGGACAGAGGCTTTACCTGCTTTGCAGTTTGAATACTGAGAAACGAATGGATTGACTGATTGAGCTACCAACGTTTTTTAGCGACAAATTATCTTTCAGATTTCCAAAGTTGCAATATTTGCATAATCAGTTTCTCGCCATGTATTGACCTAACCCAAGATATACAAAATCAAAGAAATTATCAACTCAACCTAACAACAAAATGCATCTGCTTCCGCCATCACAATTGTGACCAAACAATGCCTATTTCCACTCAGTTATTGGTATCCTAGGTTGGAGTTTCCTATACTATTTGTTTTATATTTGTTAGTGAATTGCTGCCCAATAGCAATTAATTGAATGTGTGGTATAAGTACTACATTGTAAAATCTTGGCAGCATATATTTTGCCTAATCACAAAAAAAGCATATTTCGCCGGATGAGAACAGAAGGGGCCTAAGTCACATTTTTGGAAAATTGACTTTTTTTAATATTTTGGGGTTTTGAGCCATGCTCTACAAGGTGGTATTCTTGAAATCCTGAAATTCTCAATAATAAAAATTTTAGCTGGACTTAGGCCTAAAATATTTAAGAACAGAATGGGCCTAAGTCCAGCTAAAATTTTTATTATTGAGAAATTCAGGATTTCAAGACCACCACCTTGTAGAGCATGGCTCAAAACCCCAAAATATTGAAAAAAGATAGTCCTAAGTTCCAATATGATGGGCATGAACATCAGAAATGAAATGTCCGAAACTTACATCCCTAAAAATTTGTTCAGTGCAACTTAGGCCTAAGTCACCTTGTTTTACCTTGCATCCAATACAAAAAATTTCAGAAGTTGTTGAGAACAGAATGGGCCAAAGTTTCATATGGGGGTAAAAAAGCAGGAAGGAATTGAAGCTGAAGTGCCAAAAAATATTGATTACAAAGATATTCTCATCCACATTAAAATAACCAGAGCTCAGGACTTTACTAAGTGTGGATATCTAGAAATTCGAAAATAAAAAAATTCCAAATTGTTTTTTGCGTTTTTCTCAAAACTCAAAATTGTGACTTAGGCCTGTTCTGTTCTCATCCGGCGATTTATTTGTTAAATGCCTTTACTTACTTAATCGCTAAAATTCATAATTAATCGCTAAATGCTCTAAGTTAACTTACATATTCGCCACTGCTTTACGTAATCGCCAAAAATCACAATTATTCACTAAAATGCCTTGAATTACTTAGTGGCCAATGCCTTACTCAATTTCAGTGAATCATACTTAATAGCTAAATGCTTTAATTTACTTGATCGCCGTTGCCTTACTCGCAAATAAGAATATTTAATCGCTAAGTGTCCTAACTTACTTAATCGCCACTGCCTCATTATTCGCCAAATATCGTATTAAATCGCTCTATGCATTACATGACCTAACTCCACTGCCTTACTTAACTAAAGTCATGCTATGTTTTCAAAAACTCGCTGATGAAAATCAATTGCAGCCCTGTCACTGTGAGGTAATTTCAGATAAAATATTCGCCCTGTTAAAATTGCTCCTTTTCATAATGATCTTTTTCAAAACCTCAGTTAGCGCATAACTAGATTCCTCCTTATAAAGTTCTGATTGTGTTCTAGTTTCAAATGTTCAACATGGTGCGGTTCGACGGAAGCTTGCATGCGACAGACTCGCAAAGGTTAGGAAACACTTCTATGGTGGCCCACGCGTTGTCACGTGTAAAATTGAAGAAAAAAAAATTTCTATGTTTTTTCACAACTATTTTTTTATTTTACTTTAATTTAAGTATTTATTTTATTTTTTTTCCAATTTTACGCGTGACAACGATGGGCCACCATACACTTCTCTAACCGGTTTTGTAGCATTCTGTCCAACCAATAAAATAGACGTCATTCTCGAAGTTGTAATGTAACTATATAATTAGTGCCTAAATTATAAATTAAACTAAATTTTGTTTGTAGATCACGAAACAAATTCACGACTAAAAAGTTCTTACTCTCGCCATTTCTCTCAACAATCGAGCATTCCAAATGGTAATCAATCACTTTATACGTCGTTATTTTATTTTTTGAAGAACAGACACGACAAAATTTTTGCGAGTCAAATAAAGCTTTTACTTTTGTAGAAAATAGGAAATTAATGATAAGGGACGAATTCAAGAGGAGAAGGTATCATCAGAAGAAAAGCGATCATAAAGCAATCAATTTTCTGCAATGAAGAGCATAGCGAGATTATGGAAAATAACTTAGAAGGGTTGTTTAAATACAAAGCAAATAATAAAAACGATATTTCAAAGTAACCAATAAAAAGAACCATGTAAAAGAATTGATGTAATGGAAGATAAGAAATAGCCCAGATAGTTTGTAACGTCAAATCAATTTATAACAAATGCTTAATGCAACGGCTTTAATTTTATTATTATTCTGTATATAAAACTATATTAATTTGTTAACAGTTCGCTAAAATAATAATATGCTTCTTGCTTTGCGTATAAGTTTGAGTGAATCCGGCTTGATACTATTGATTGCACATATTGTTACGAGATGTCACTGTTCTGTTCAAATTAACCCAGGTGAGTGAATATTATTGTATTGATATTTATATTATGCCTGAGCAGTACCATAGCAATTATTCAATTTAGGAAGGAAAATCGAATATTATTAGGAAAAATAGAATTTGGAAGTAGAGATAATATCTATTGACATATATCTATTGATAGATATATATACACAATTCATGACTCCGAAAGAAGTTTGACAAGGTGCTATTTGGAAAAAACTGTGTTAAAAGTACTCTGATCAGTTAAACGGAAAGACTAAATAGGAATGAATGAATACACATCTCTGTAATAACAACCTTTGTTCGCGTTATCCTCGATAACGAGCAAGTCATGTAACCAAGTATTCTGTCTTGCGAAAGACACGTTGTATAATAATCATATTTGTATTTGTGCAGAATGTTCACATGAGAATCCTGTTTGTCTCAACGGCGGCACGATGGACTCAAATGGAATATGTCAATGTACGCCTGAGTGGAAGGGAGACTTTTGTGATATCGCCGTAAAAGTGTCACTCTGTAAGTTTACTAAATTATATCCAAAAAAAAAAACGGGTCAATTAAAGCTAAAAAACAGGGATTGTAGTTTTGTATTGATACAAAAAATGAGTACAGATGTAAACATTATTTTGTATAAAATAAGCTGTTAGTATATAAGTATCATCTTGATTCATATGGTTGTTCTAAATAATCTATAAACAATATATTATACGATATACAAGCATGTACTGGAATATTTTGTATCACACAATTCCCGTTCATACGCACCAAATTTGATCACTTTGCCAATATCGTGTATTTTTGATTCAGAGCATTAAACCAAATTCAAGTAGTTATAGCTTAAAATCAAAGTAGCTAAAACTTGGTAGCTACATAAAAAATATAACTAAAATAAAATGGATAATTATTTCATTACTTGATTATCTAAAAATAAAATTATCTTTAAATACGAGATATAAAACTCTGCATTGACATTTCATAGTAGTACTCCAAATTCTCTTTATAAAATTATTCACTTCAAGACTTCAATAAATTCATAACTCCCTTCCTGTTGAAATGAATCGCGACATGGTATTGGATGAAGAATCTAACACTGTACGCGAACAATAAATTTGCATCTGGTGTTTGAATGCGAAAACGACATTGAATTTTTCGTTGAAAATCCATAGATAGTATGAATTGAACAAATCGTAATGTGGAGTTCCAATTTTTCCATGATTGAGTTTAGTAAATCGTACCCGTTTCGAATCATACACTTTTGTACTTCATTTATTCCTGTAGATATTATGTATTTTTCTGTACCGCATTTTTTATAGTTTCCATGATGAATTCATTCTTTATTTGTATAATTGTTATCCTTTTTCACCGAGTTCAAAAGTTCAATGCACCTTATTGAGCTAAATCATTAAATTAATGTAAGATGAGCCATTACTATATAATTTATTGTAGCGTGTAAATGATAATGACTTCACGTGAAGTTATTTAACAATTCAACTCAATATTCCACGAAAACCAACAATTGTATAAAATTGGAACATGTTGTAAAAATTGATCAGGAAATATTCGACTTGATTTATAATGACTATTGCAATTTTTTCGTGATAAGTCAATTTCAGATCAAAACAACGTGACATTTGGCTATATTTTATCATGCGTGATTTTAATAAATTGAGTAGACAATGCCTGGAAGGTTTCAAAACATTGTAGATCATTACATATCAATGGAGACGTGTTAGTTCCTATTCGTTGTGAAAGACAAATCACTGTATAAAAAATCCTTTCACGAGATATTCGAATTGAATTACATAAATATATTTATTAAACTGAGTTTTTACTTTAATTTATTTATTGTCTTATTTCTCAGACTGCAGGAAATCTAATGAATGCAAATATGGAGGGTCGTGTATCGATGGCAAATGTCAATGTACAAACTTGCGGACAGGTAGACAATGCCAAATTAACGTTCAAGGTAAACTTCCATATTCCCATTATCGACACATATTCATCCTCTAACTGAGCTACAAACGGAGCAAAGCAAATAAATAGACACTGAGCATAAAATTCAGTCAACCAATCCAAACCGACATTCAGAAATAAAACGAACTATTATCAATTGAAATTTGACATCGCCAGAAAATAGCACAATTTATTTAAACGCATCTCGAGTTCAGAGCGGAAATAAGCACTTGGAATTTTCAACTGTAATCGATATTTGAGCTGAACGAACCATAAGTTAGTAAATTTTTTAATTTAAATATAGGATGAACAAACATTCACCCTTTTAATATCAGAATTCGGTAACATAATTTTCCTAGTACGATTGGATCCAACTTAAAGGTTTCATTTGCCTACTTGAATTCCTTTATCATGCTTTTATATATATTTGTTTTATTATTCATTTATCGCCTCCATTCCGATTGCTTATTCATTGCCATTTATTGCGATAATTTTGTTGACAATATTTGTAATATATCGAAACTTTATGACCAAGTGAATCAATGAATTATGATTACTTTAAAGGTCAATCACAGACTTTATATTTCAGTATGTAGTTGAATTTGGCAGTAAAACATCCTGTTGAGGTTTAATGTCAACTGTCTGCAATGCTATTATTATAAGTTTATACTTGATTCAAATTTGCAACCTGAGCTAAATTTTGTCAAAATGGTTGGATTTATCAAAAATCTGTCTGGTAGCGCCGCAAGGTTATAAATCTAGCAAATTTATAATACATATAATATTTAAATTTCAATATAGATACTTGTAGATAAAATATATTTCGAAAATTTGGTGAATATATTCTATTTTGCAGATACCGTCAAATATATTGAAGATATTCTAGACAAGAAAACCCAATCACGATACTTCTTTATTTCCACCAACGCTGCTTTTTCTCGAGCTCGAAACCAATGCCGGAAGCTTGGAGGGCATATCATCACCGCGACAGAACCAATAAGTTCTCATGATAACGAGGCGAGTAAAAATAACTTATAAATTGCATACATCAAAACAGATCTTGAATGATTCCATTTAAACCAAATCTGTGTTATTATAAAGGTGTGTAATTTATGTGCAAATTGAGAATACAAAAATAAATCTTCAAGAATCGATTTCAAACAAACAATAATTTACAATATTGACAATTATTGTAAGTAATAAAATCTGTCGATATTTGTACTATTTCTCATTTCAACGAATATTTCAGAATAATTAAATTTTATCAATAAGAAGTTATTTCTCTTGCAGTTTGATGGTAGCCTTAGTTTCAGCTTACCCCATAAAACGAAAAACTGCAGTGCAATAAAGTTAAACAACTTCGGTGCGCTAGAAATTTCATGCTACGGCAAGATGGCGTATGTGTGCCAAGCGCCAACTACTGGTAAATATTTCTTTTTTGAATTGTTTATATAATCACAATCATAAATATAAGATATCAAACTTGGGTTTTAGGACGTAAAGCAGTTAATAATTATTTGTTCAAGCACTATGATATTCACAAACAAGAAATATAATCTAGTGAAGCCTGGTTATTGGTTTAGTACCGTGCAGTACATTCGACTTCATAATTCAGTATTAGTTTGAGACTATCACAGAATCACGTTCAAATATTATGACAGGTGTTTGTTCAAAAGCGATTCAAAGCAAATTTTGCGATAACACAATTGCTGGACACTGCCATCATTCGAAAACTGGATTTGAATGTTGTAAAAGAGGATTTAAGATGATGGAAAATGGTATTTGCGTTGATCGTAACAGCATTTTATGTCCACCAAAAGACGAAAACTGTGTGTACAAAAATGGATCAAGTGTATGTTTATGCCCTGATAATATGCAAGGAAATGGAATAAATGCTTGCGGATGTGAGTTGATTTACTTTTGAGTATCGTTGGTATTTAATGTAATATAGCAAACAATAATGCAGCTGCAAAACCTTAGCATATTTGGGAATTTGATGACACCGTGTTCTTGATGCTTTTTCCTCCCTCTATGTTGTTGTCGGAAGGAAAACTTCATTGGAGTTTGGCCAGATTCTAGTTTGTGGGATTTTGAATGACAGTTAGTTTGTTCAAAGCAAATTAAAATTGAAATTTTCTTCAAATGTTTTTTTGTTTGTTTTCCAGATATAATAACATTATGGCAAATTGTCAGATATCCAGAGATCAAACTACCAGCTACTGATTGCGCTGTGAGAGATAAAGCAAATCGTCTCCGTGATTTATACTCTAAACACCTGTTAAACAAAATAAACATGCTCATCATAACAAAAATTACTGATTTTGAAACAAAATTATTAAATTTAACATATGATATTTATTGCTCGGATCCCAACTTGACACCACGTGATTTTATCAAAGATTTTATTAAAGTCAGACGAGCAATGAGAAGTTCTAATAAAAAACTGTTTTTTGGATGGAGGAAACCTATTCAAGGTATAGTAACGAGTCTGAAAAAACGTCAATGTAAAGAATACTGTATGATCGGTCTAAAAATATTGACACATATTTTTCTAAATATCCTAAAAACTGCAGACAAAGGGTGGTTTTATCTAGCAGTTGGTCAAAATAGGACTCATCCTACCTTGTTGAACAAAGGTAATGATAGAGAGATATAGACTAGCGATGGTTATACTTTAAAAAAAAATATTTATCGTATTCTACAATATTCGGGACCATAAAAGTTTGTACTTTTGGCTGGCACTGCGAAGATTCGTCTATATTTTGTTCAATGGCTGTCTGGTGTGGTTTACCATTAGCGTGCGTAATCCACCTCCGACTTTTTTCAGCTTCTTCAAAGTGTACGCCAAAAGAAATGGGGTACGGCAAAAGATTATATCATTTCAAGGCAGCAAAGGCAGGTACTCTAGCGTTTTCAAAAGAAAACTCCTCATCGGGTAAGAAATAATTTCTTAGACAGCATATTGGACTTCGTCAAATATATTAAATCAAACTCTTTTGTTCAATAAGTATTGTATTGTTTTCGTCATAATTTCAAGCTGAAAATATTCATTGGCACTTATTACTTATCGATCTCGATCGTTAAGTATGTTGATGGGTATTTGTCTGTTTGTCTGTCTGTCTGTCTGTCTGTCTGTCTGTCTGTCTGTCTGTCTGTCTGTCTGTTTGTCTGTCCGTCTGTTAGATGCACGCGATATCTCACGAAAACGAGGTTGAATCTGCTCCAAATTTTGCATGTGCATTCATCATAGCTCGGACCAGAAGCCTATTGATTAGGTCGTTTAATTAGCGAGTTATTAAACGAGAATATCGGTCAGAGACTGAAGACTTATCGATCGGAAGTTAGGGGATCCCCAAAACAGCGCTCTTACTCCATAGTGACACCTTGTGTCAAATTACTAATTAATTAATAACTCGCTAATTATACGACATAATTCATCCAAAATCAATAGGCTTCTGGTCCGACATATGATGAATGCACATGCAAAATTTGGAGCAGATTTAATCTCGTTTTCGTGAGATATCGCGTGCATCTAACTGACAGACAGACGAACAGAGAGACAGACAAACAGACAAATACCTATCAACATACTTAACGATTAAATCGATAAGTAATAATTAGTGATGGTGTCGCTATTAGATCAGAATGAGGGAATCGAAACCGCAGTTTCTGTTTTGGGGGATCCCTAACTTTCGTCGCTGCGAACGATCGATAAGTCGGCGGTCTCCGATCGCTATCTCGGTTCAAATTTGCAAATAATCTGTAAGTAGTTCTCAAATATACATAGTATAAATGGATTATGTGTTGTAATTGTGTTTCTCAGGATCATCTGAAGCTACTCTGCCTTGTAAAATAAGAAAATACTCAGATGGCAGTGAATCAGCATACTTGGACTATACAGCTTTTAGATTTGCATGTAATATGGTATGTCTAGTATACGTGTTTTTATAATATTTCCTCTGGGGAAAATTTTACAAATTTTAAACAACGTATACACAACGTATCGTAGTATGACTAACCTAGATTTTTTTTCATCTAGAAACATCATTTTTTCTCCCAGATAGCTTCTATATAGTAAGCCATAAAAATAATGATATTGAATTTACATGCTTAATTATTCAATTTCTACTTCACATATTTGATTCGCAACTCATTAGTTAGCGTTGCACCTTTATTACAATATTTTCGTAGTTTTAAGGTTTCATTAACCGTGTCCCATCTTTTTTGAAAAAAGACAAAAAAAGCTTTTTTTATTCCAAATGTTGGTAGTGTAAAAAGTATTTAAAAAGTATTGTTCATTTAGTATTAAGGTTCACCAATAATGAATGGGAATCTATAACTTCTTGCTTTCTATAATTTGAGCGTCAATTGATTCGATAAAAATTCCAAGTACTCCATTAAAATCTCCTGTATCCTAGAAACCATTTTTTACAATATATCTGAAATAATGTATATATACCATTTTCAATAGATTTATACTACAAGTGCTCCAATATCTTTTGAAACCACGAATGGCGATGTAGCAAACGGAAGTACGCTAATGTATAGATTTAAGAAATACTACAACGAAACAATGCACGACTCGGTAAATACAACAAACGATTTCAGGAGCGCAAAGGTAGTGAAGTGACATTGATTTGGTCGACACTTTTTTGTTAAAAACTGGCCCAAAATGGAATAGGTCTACCTGTGAGTCTAATCTGCAAAAAAAGCTTTTTTGTATTCCAAATGTTGGTAGTGTAAAACGTATTTTAAAAGTATTGTTCATTTAGTATTAACTAAGGTTCACCAATAATGAATGGGAATCTATAACTTTATGTATTCTATAATGTGAGCGTCAATTGATTCGATAAAAATTCCAAGTACTCCATTAAAATCTTCTGTACCCTCAAAACCATTTTTTACAATATATCTGAAATAATGTATATATACCATTTTCAATAGATTTATACTACAAGTGCTCCAGTATCTTTTGAAACCACGAATGGCGATGTAGCAAACGGAAGTACGCTAATGTATAGATTTAAGAAATACTACAACAAAACAATGCACGACTCGGTAAATACAACAAACGATTTCAGGAGCGCAAAGGTAGTGAAGTGACATTGAGTTGGTTGACACTTTTTTGTTAAAAACTGGCCCAAAATGGAATAGGTCTACCTGTGAGTCTAATTTGCAAAAAAAGCTTTTTTGTATTCCAAATGTTGGTAGTGTAAAAGTATTTAAAAAGTATTGTTCATTTAGTATTAACTAAGGTTCACCAATAATGAATGGGAATCTATAACTTTTTGTATTCTATATTTTGAGCGTCAATTGATTCGATAAAAATTCCAAGTACTCCATTAAAATCTTCTGTACCCTCAAAACCATTTTTCACAATATATCTGGAATAATGTATATATACCATTTTCAATAGATTCACACTACAAGTGCTCCAATATCTTTTGAAACCACGAATGGCGATGTAGCAAACGTAAGTACGCTAATGTATAGATTTAAGAAATATTACAACGAAACAATGCATGATTCGATAAACACAACAAACGATTTCAGGAGCGCAAAGGTAGTGAAGTGGCATTGATTTGTTTGACATTTTTTCGTTAAAAACTGGCCCAAAATGAAAGAGGTCCACCTGTGAGTCTAATCTGCAAAAAAAGCTTTTTTATATTCCATATGTTGGTAATGTAAAAGGTATTTAAAAAGTATTGTTCATTTAGTATTAAGGTTCAGCAATAATGAATGGAAATCTATAGCTTCTTGCTTTCTATAATTTAAGCGTCAATTGATTCGATAAAAATTCCAAGCACTTCATTAAAATTTCCTGTATCCTAGAAATATATCTGGAATAATGTATATATACCATTTTCAATAGATTTACACTACAAGTGCTCCAATATCTTTTGAAACCACGACTGGCGATGAAGCAAACGGAAGTACGCTAATGTATAGATTTAAGAAATACTACAACGAAACAATGCACGACTCGGTAAATACAACAAACAATTTCAGGAGCGCAAAGGTAGTGAAGTGACATTGATTTGGTTGACTTTTTTGTTAAAAACTGGCCCAAAATGGAAGAAGTCCACCTGTGAGTCTAATATGCATAAAAATTAAACTCAGGTGATTCTCGGAAATCTAAAATCCTCAGCTACGTGTTTGATTTTTTTTTGTTTCTCACAAAAAGAAAAAATGTCCTTTAGAATAAAATCCGGAAACCCTATTGGTTAAACTGCAACGTTTTTACACTATATTATTCAGACACAAAAATATAAGTTCATAAAAAAAGCTTTGCTTTGAAAACAGCATGAACAAATATTTCCCATTCTTTCTTTTGAAGAAATTTTGGGTGACAAAGGTTCGTTTGGAAGAACTCACATACATGGCAAATGAACTCCTTAGTGAAAGCCGAAACTACGAGAATCCTGAAAATATCAATGTCGCCCTGTCGGTGGAAACTCTAACAACTAGAATAAAACCGGAGCCAAACGAAACATTCAGATTAAATTTGACGTCTATTTACGTGGATGTTCAGCAGGTACTTATTATATCTGGTATATTCAGCATTATATCTGCAAGTATTTCCAATTAAATCATTTTAGAAATAAATTTATAAATAATAGAAATAATAATATAATAATAATATAGAAAGACATTGGTTGAAAATTTCTCATTTTTTTCTGTGAAAAAGTCATCATTAAAACACTAAGGTTTTGGACAAAATCCAAGAAATTAAACTATTTTACAGTTTAAAGCTCATGTGCACTAACTAGGTGTTAGCAAAGAGTACAGGGCTATGACCACTAGGTCTCAGTGCCAAATTCTAAATCCGTAATTTTTAGTGACGTCTGCAATGCTGCTGTCTTATTTATTTAGTTCACATCATATCATTATACTGATTTACAAATGAAAGACACTGAATTCAAACTGGAAGGAATAAAGGCATTGTTACCTGGAAGCGCAGTTGATAAAGCATTACTCATGTCAGAAGACAAACGCACTTCTGTATCTTTTGTAGTGTTTCGAAATGCTAGTTTCTTTCAGACATCGAAAGATATTGCCGTCGATCAAGTAAGTACTTTGGTAACAGTGTGACAGTGTAACAGTTTCATACTAAATATACCGTATGCATTACTATCCATGGCAAGGTTTATTGAAACAATCACTAAAATGTACTAGACGATTTTATTGTTAAAACGAGCTGAAATAGTTTATAAATATATATATATATATATTCTTTAACACTTTTTAAAAGCCACTGGTTTTGTCTTTAATTACGTTGGACCATATTTTTTCTTTCCATAGGTACTATCGTGCAGCATTGCTGACAAGAAAATTACCGATTTGTTGAAACCATTTTGGTATCAGATACCTGTAAGTTATGAGAAGTCAAACGTAAGTTATATTTAAAATATTCAATATTGTATTAACTATTAGAAACTATTGGGCACAAATTCATTTAGCAAAATTGCTTTTCTTGTTGCTGGAATTTTTATCGCCGAGATAAAATTTTCTCTGCAATTACTAGAAAGGTGATTCAAGGTTGTCGGCATCTGGGCCACAATATTATTTTTGTAATATTCGCGGCCACAGTGCTAAAAATAGCTAAACAACACAGCATAAAGCAAAAACTTTTATTGTATAAACATATTTGATTATTATTTATCTTTCATCAATAATTTTATGTTAACATTCATGTTAGTCGTTGACAGTCATAAACATGCATCCAATGTTTTGTTTCCCAACCTGTTAAAATTGAACAACTGACTTATGCTAGTTAACACTTTAGGCTAGCAAACACACTATTCAGCAATCTGAATATCCTACTAATATCACTTCAGTCTACTGACTGCATCAACTAGTCATAACATTAATCAATTAAATGACGTTGGTAATATAACAATATCTCAAAGAAATTTGGTAAACTTTATCACGAATCAACGCCAAAATGAGATTTTTTGCTTTTTATAAACAACTTCTGTTTATAAAGGAAACACGCCAAGTAAAATTTCTAAAATGTGCTTATTACGATGTGGAAATAAATGACTGGAATTCTGATGGATGTTCGTATGTTGTTGGATCAAATCCGCCAAATTGTACTTGCAATCATTTAACGAATTTTGCTGTATTAGTAGTAAGTTATTGTATAACGTTATCTGAATTTAATCTAGTTTTAATCTATTTTTATTTACACATATTCCGAAAGCAAATTTTTTGTTATGTTGTCTTTTGTAAATAATAAGAATTTAGCGTGTTTAATTTTTTAATCTATTTTTTGGTACTCCCGTAGTATGTGAACCAAGATGGCGGATACCGTAACGTAGTATGTGTACCAGGTTAGGGTTAGGCCATAATTTCAAGTAAAAATACTACGGGAGCCAATTAGAAAGTCCCCGAATTCGTAATAGAACTAAAATAAAGAGATTGGAATAAAATAACGACCTAACCTGGTACACATACTACGTTCAGATGTCCGCCATCTTGGTTCACATACAACGAGAGTACCGACTTTTCCAAGTAAAATCGACTAGATTAATACTAACTAACGACTAATTAACGAGTAAAGTCTTTTATAGTAGTGATCCTTCAAAGACTAATCTTCCATTTCCTGCATGCCCCACACGTTAACGTTAATTGTAAAACTTGAAAGTTGATTAGTGATATTTTTAGAAACAGGCATTGTCTGAATTATATATTCAATTGATCATTATTTCAACATTTAGTATATCATAAGGTCAGTATGGATTGCTTAGGTTCAATGCTGAATAGCATTTGAGATATTGTAATTTAATATTGCAATGAATGTCTGTCTATTGGGCACAATGGTCGAATTATATTTAACGGTAATATTATTACATTTTTTAGAAAACAGCCAATTTGAAGGATCCATATACTTTAGAAATATTCGGAAAAGTCGGATGTTCACTTTCTGTGATTGGACTTGCTTTGATGTTGTTGTGCATTTGTTATTTTTCGTAAGTAATGAAATTAAATGGCCTTTAGAATTTTTATTTTTGTGTATTCTGTCATTGCCTTCTGTTGTACAACGTAAGATAGGATTTAAAATCAGTATAGTAGGGATAGTAAATATATCAAAACTATAAAATACTTGTTTCGTTATTGTTCAGGTCGTTAAGAAAGAATTTGACGAATCAAATACACTCAAATCTCGGATTCAGTCTCTTAGTGGCATATGTTTTGTTTCTGACGGGTGTTGAGCAGATAAATAATAGAATTGGCTGTATTACTATCGCAGGATTCCTGCATTTATTTTTACTATCTGCATGGGGATGGATGGTAGTTGAATGTGCCACTATGTACAAGTAAGAGATAATTATAATAATGTAAAACTATTCTAACATTGTACATCTTCGGACGGATATGTGACGTTGTTATTTGCATATTAAATCGACATTCAGTTGTCGTTACAAAATCAGTTAAAAAGGTATGTGCGATGTACGGTTTGCAGCATTTGTTGGTTAAGTTATGAATAAAATCCGACAATTGCTCAAGTAAAATGAAGTATGAGCGGCAGTGTTTGTCGGCAGTGTCGTCACCTATCTAGGTCGAAGCAATGCAATAAAATATTGTTAAGGTCAATGATTATATCTAGCTATATGAAAAGGAAAAATATCGTTCCAAATACTTGGAAATAATTAACAGAGCTCTTACTTGGTATACGCAACCCCTGTATGTGAGGGTTATTAAACAAAGTGAAACTTCTATCCCCTTGAACACTTTTTCCAGGAAGCTTGTTTCAGTGTTTGGTTCAACGGGACCCCACTATATAGTAAAGGCTGCAGTCATGGTATACAGTGGTTCCGCTCTAATTGCTGTTGTTACCGTCGCTGTTGCTGTAGGTTGGTTTGATAGAAACTTTCTCATGAATTCACATGGATTTACAGAAGGTAATGATAAAATGAATATTTAGAACAACTTTTGTCGTTATCATGATTAAATAGTCTCTTGGCTATGTAGGTAATACAGTATTAAAAGTTTAGTGCAGGGGTTTTCATCCTTCTCAATTACAGAGTCCATGGACTGTACTGACGGAACCTTATGTTGCCGAGAAACGCTGGTTGAAATCAACTGGTACAGGGTAACAGTTTTATGACTGATTCATTTTTGATAAACAAGCATTACGTAAATACCATTTCAGCTGATCAATATATTTTTTACTTAACCCATAGTCGGCCAATGCGTTTGCAGACGTTGATGCTCAATGTTGATTGGAAATATACAAATAAATACTCTACAAATTTGAACTATTATTTTTTGCAGAGGATGAAATACATGCTCCATCCACATACATAAGTCAACGATTATGTTGGCTTCATAATTATTCATTAATTTTTGGATTTTTGATGCCTATCGCTATTGCTCTCGTTATAAATATATTTGGCTTCATCGCAATTTCAAAAGCCATTACTTGTGATCGGTCGAAGGTAATTTATATACCTACCTTAAGTATGATCTGTTCAATCTTTATATTCATAATAATCTAATATGTTAACTACTAGTCGCTTTCAATATACATGTGCTGAATCATCATTGTTTGTTCAAATGTGGTGTGTGATTATGAAAAAATTAAGTCAAAATTAATATAAAAATTAAACAATGGCATTTTGAACTCATGAAAGCGTGATAAATATTTAGCAGGGCGAAAGTTCACACAATTGTGAACATGTACTTGTACTATACTCTTAAGTAATATTTAGAGTTGAATTGAAAAGCAGCATGTTTGGAAACATCGCTATATTTTCTTTCATTTATACAGAGTATATTAAAGCTTCTTTTCCATGCATCTCACCCAAAATTGGATCAAAAATGAACCCCAGTCAATAAACTTTAAAGCTTGACAATAAAAGTGTGTGGACTACTTGATGGGTTTTTACTCTTCTAGATACTACTAAAGTCAAACCAAAAGAAAACGTCACTTCGGGAGGCAAAGACTTATCTTACAAGAGCCATTATCTTCACTTTTTTACTAGGACTAGCATGGCTATTAGCTATTCCTTTAACAATATCCGATGATAAAAATTGGAACATTGTGTTTGGATGGCTGTTCTCTGTCGCCAACTCATTGCAGGTGAAAAAAGAAAACACCATTTACTGTTTTGTTTGAAATTGATCGCAAAACAAGATTGTAGTTAGTGAATAGTAGTTTGCTTAATTGAGAGTTTCGAAGGTTTAATATATAATCGGATTGATATTGTGTATAAAATCCCAAAAATAAAAAACTCAACGATACTATTAATTTGGCTTCTTTGATTTAAACTAAAAATATATATCTTACAATCAGGTCTCTTGTAAAATATAAGTTTGCATGAGATGCTCATCTTTTTGAAATTGAAGAATGTGATAAGGCGTGTAAGTATAAATGAAAATATTGGCATTTGTTTTTACAGGGTTTCTTTGTCTTTTTTCTTTTCTGCATTCGAAGAAAAGATGTTTGTGATTTATGGACAACCGAAGTATTAAAACTATTATGCATAACAAGAAAAGATAGTCACGTTAAAGGTGATACTATTAGAACTTTAGAGTTAAGTCTGTTCAAGTCGGTCTGCAAGCTCATGATATATTTTTTGAGGTGCCCGTACATTTGAACCCATGCGTATATCCACGGGTTCAATCTATATGCGGGTGCTAAAACCCATGGGTTAGAGTTAGTATGGGTTTAACTATCCGTGAAACAAAAAAATTCCATAGGTGCAATAGCATACAGGTGCAATTGTCATGGGTTCAAATGTACGTGGGTTCAAATGTAATGGAACCGTTTTTTGATATTACAAATAACAGGTCAGCCGAAGATAGATGGAAGACCAGGAACAAGTACACCACAGACTAAATCGACTGATGTAACAGTAACATACACAAAGACCAACAAAATCGAAGTTTGATACCATTCACAGCGAGGGGCTGTTATGAATTGAAAGATTCAATTCCAAATGCCTGTTTCCTAGATCTAGTCAAGTTCTTCGCAAAACAAAACTATGGCTGAAGAAAATAAAACATATTCAATGCGAGCTGTAATACTGATGTTGATACTCGATTTGACTTGGTTATTTGCTATTTCATTAGCAACATCAGATGATGTTACCAAAAATATTTTTTTTTGGTTGGTTTTTCTCAATCACAAATGCGCTACAGATTAGAAATTGATATATGAATGGTTCTACTATTTTTTATTTCATGTTGCTGTTTCTGTTAGAACAAATTCGCTTTTCTCCTCAACTAGTGCAGCAATCATTTCCTAATTTCCAGTTTTCAATGATGGATAAAGTCGCTCGAAAACTATTTTCAATTCTTTAGGTAATGTGGGACCCGATATTTCACTGCGAATTGTGTGTGAAATAGTCACAACATTATAATATCAAAGATGGTGTGTATCAATATTTTATCTTTAATTCCATGATTGCGATGAAGTCATGCAATTTTTCTCTTTGTATTTTTAATAAAAACTTGCAGCAATATTATGATTCGCACTTTTCACTCCCACTTGCTTAATTATATTTATCAATACGATGTAAGCAATACCAGGGTACTATTTACACAAGCATTGTTTTTCTTCCTGTTTTTATTTTTTCCCTTTTGTGTTCGATGAAAAGACGTCCGTACTTGTGGATTGAAGAACTGACAAAACCTTTCAAAAAAAAAACGCAAGAAACGTTGTCAACGACTGGTGAGATTATGGAATTAAGTATTGAAATAGAAAAAATAGATATCGACCCTCTAATTCATGTGTTCGATAAAATTCCGTGCGCTATGGCCTAGTTGTGAAAGCGTTGGAATTGGCTTTCAAATCCCATGCTCATTACCTCATACAGAGTGTAATAAATTGTGTAGGCCACGCTGAACACAATGATTCTGGTATTTTCAAAATATAATAACTCTCAGTGGAAGCATGTACAAAACCTTGTACGTAGTGTATAAAAACTACATGCTTGCTTTATTCTTGACAGATATTGTAAAATGGCTTGTATTAAGTATTCATTTTAAGCATTTAAAGAAATACAGGAACAAGTCGATTTCCCGCCCGCTTCATATCAAGATCCGATCGTTATCAAGAACCGCGGAGTTGTCCAGGGATCGGCATTAGGTCTTTCACCTTTCTTATTCTTGTAAACAAATGATCGGACTTAGAATTCGATAGTAGATAACAGCGCATAGGACGCTAATACTTATTTATTTTAAAAATTTATGTGGGGCCGATGTGATTCATTTTACAATTCGCAATTGATGACGTCTTCAAATTTAAAACTTGTGTACTGTATACCTGCTCCGCGATCATATTTGAGCGATCTGGGGGTCGGACTAACGTCACAGCAAAGATTTGATACTAGGCTACTTCGTTTTGCCTTTGTTCATTGCTCTCTTGTTTGATTATTATTACTTACTATATTACTTGAAACTATCTTTTTGTTTTTGAATACTCTTAATTCTCGAGTTGATATCAAACTCCAAGTTTACAGTTTTGTACATATGCAGGATGAAAAAAAATGGTTTGTAAAAATCTTAGAGAACGGGAAATCACAAAGCGGAAATCACTAATTTCCAGAATGGAACGGAAATCCTAAATTATTGAGCTAATGTCAATAATAAGAAGAGTGTTAACTATATCGGGGCTCAATACTCCCAGTTCAAATAAATTGCCTGATTTAAAATCTTTTATTATGATTGCGGAAGTGGTTTATTTAGACGTGACGTAACGCCTGAATAAGCTAAATTCTGATTATTTTTTCGGGTTACTAGACAATTGTTGCAATAAGCAAGCAAGAAAATGTGGGAACAATAATGGTTCAATACGAAACCATTTACTTGGGAAAAAAATATGATGAAACCGTAACGAAAGAATTGTTTCTAAGTATTAATGTGACAATCTTTGAAAAACGTAGATTTTGGGCATTCGCACATGTTTTCGTACCTCTGTTCCGATTGTATAAATTAAATAAAGAAGATTTGTCAATCTTACTGTTACTAATTTCTACATCAAATAGTCAAATGACGTGCAATTTAATAAAAAAAAAAATCAAAACTATGGATTATATAGATTTTTTTATGTATCGATATAAATTCAGTTACAATCAATTTGAGAAACATCTTTAACCGCTACAAAAGCACTTAATTAAGCAAGAATATTATTGTTTCGTAATATGGTCTCATGGTAATTAGCATTTAGTAATTTTTAGAACACGACATAGCTTTCCACGAAAATTAAATCCAAGAGTATTTTGTATCTTACTGAAAGCTAAAAAAACTAAATTTGTTTGTAGATCACGAAACAAACACACGACTAAATAGTTCTTACGCCTGCCATTTCTCTCAACAGTCGAGCATGCCAAATGATAATCAATCACTTTATACGCCGTTATTTTATTTTTTGAAGAACAGACACGAAAAAATTTTTGCGAGTCGAATACAACTTTTGTTGGTAGAAAATAGAAAATTTATTATAGCGGACAAATTCAAGATGAGAAGGTATTGAAAGAAAATCAGTCATAAAGCAATCACTTTTCTGCAATGAAGAGCATAGCGAGGAACTTCAATTTCTGTTCAAAAATAGTCACCATTGGTACATGCTTTCTGTGAGATATCCGACGAGATTATGAAAATTAACTTAAAAGGGTTGGTTAAATACAAAAGCAAATAATAGAAACAATATTTCAAAGAAAGGTATAAAAATAACCATGTAAAAAATTGATGTAATTTACAATAGAGGATAAGAAATCGTCCAAATAGCTTGCAACGTCCAATCAATTTATGACAACCCCGTTATATCTTATTTTTTTTTTAATTCTGTATTTAAAACTATATTAATTTGTTAACAGTTCACCAAAATATTAATAATATGCTTCTTTCTTTAAGTATAAGTTTGATCGAATCCGGCTTGGTACTAGTGATTGCACATATTGTTACGAGCTGCCACTGTTCTGTTAAAATTGACCCAGGTGAGTGAATAATATTGTATTGACATTGATATTATGCCTGAGCAATGTCCTATTTATCTCCTATTTTGTTTCAAAGGTTCTATAACAGTATTATTTATTGTACAATCTTGTTAGTTACTAAACCACGTGTTATTCATGACTCCGAAATCGAAGTTTGACAAGGTGCCCAAAACTATGTTAAAAGTGCGCTAATTTAACAGTTATACATAAATAGAAATGAATACACGCCTTTGTAATACCAACCCTTGTTCTTTTTATTCTTGATAACAAGCAAGTCATGTAACCAAGCATTCTGTCTTGCGAAAGATACATTGTTTAATTATCATATTTGTATTTGTGCAGAATGTTCACATGAGAATCCTGTTTGTCTCAACGGCGGCACGATGGACTTTTTAAATGAAACATGTCAATGTACGCCTGCATGGAAGGGAGACTTTTGTGATATTCCTGTGAAAGTGTCAGTTTGTAAGTTTACTAAACTATATCCAATAAACTGGTCAATCAAAGCTAGAAAATAGGGATTTTAGTTTTGTATTGATACAAAACAGATAGCTGAAATATTACGGAAAATAAGTACAAATGTAAATATTATTTTGTATAAAATAATCTGCTCGTATATAAGTATCATTTTGATATTGCGGAAATCATTCTATCTCATAATTCGATTCATATGGTTGTTCAACTGAACAATTTATAAAAAATATTTTCTACGATATACAAACATATATTGGAATTTTCGTGATATTGAAATAAGCTGTATCACTCACTTCCTGTTCATACACACCAAATTTGATTTGTATTTTAAACTGAACGCAAGTAATTATAGCTTAAAATCGAAGTAGATAAAACTTGGTATCAACATCAAAAATATAACTAAAATAAAATGGATTAATATTTCATTACTTGGTTACTTAAAAATAAAATTATCTTTAAAGAGAAGATAATTCTGCAGTTGCATTTCATAGGTTTTGTGCTTCAAATACTCTTTATAAAACAATTAACTTCAAGATTTCAATAGAGTCGTAACTCCCTTCCTGTCGAAATGAATTGCGACATGGTATTGGAGTGAGAATCTATGACTGTACGTGGGACATTAAATTTGCATCGGGTGTTTAAATGCAAAAACGTCATTGATTTTACCTTGAAAATCTACACATATAGTATGAATCAAACAAACCGTAATTTGATGTTAAAATTTTTTGATAATTGAATTTAGTAATGCGTACCCATTTGCAAGAATCATACAATTTTAAGCTTTATTTATTCCTGTAGATTTTATGTATTATTCTGTAACTCAATTTTTTAATGTTTTCATGATTAATTCATTCTTTATTTGTATAATAGTTCTTTTTTTTACCAAAGTTCAATGAGCACCAAGCATCTTATCTTATTGAGCTAAATTATTAAATTATTGTAAGAGGAGAAATTATTCAACTCCATATTCCACGAAAACCAAAAATCGTATAAAATTGGCACATGTTGTAAAAATTGATCAGGAAATATTCGACTTGATCTATAATGACTATTGCAAATTTTCTGTGAAAAGTCAATATCAGATCAAAACAACGTGAAATTTGGTTTTATTTTAGCATACGTGAAAAAATATAAAATAATATAATTGTCTAGCAATTAAATCACGCGTATTTGTGGGCAAAACGTTGAATTAACTCAGTTGGCATCGGAGGTTGCAGGACTCAGGTTGAAACACAAACCACCTCACCAAAGGTGTAATAAACTGAGTAGTTAGACAATGCTTGAATGGTTTCGATACTTCCAAAACATGTTAGCTCAATATATATCAATGGAGGCTTGTACAAGTTCCTATTCGTAGTGAATGACTCGACAAATCGTGGTTGAAACAACAGTTTCAAGTAATATAATTATTTACATGATTATATTTATTAAACTTATTTTATTACTTTAAATATATTGTCTTGTTTCTCAGACTGCACGGAATCCAAAGAATGCAAATATGGAGGATCTTGTGTCGATGGCAAATGTCAATGTACAAAATCGTGGAGAGGTAGACAATGTCAAATTAACGTTCAGGGTAATCCTTTTATATTCCCATTATCGACACATATTGATTGTCTAACTAAGCTACAAACGAAGCAAAGCAAAAAATAGACACTGAGCATAATACTCACTCAACCAACCTAGACTGACATCCACAAATAAAACAAACTGAAGCGAGAAATTAGCACAATATATTTCTACACAGCTCGAGTTCAGAGTTGAAACTAAAAACTTAGAATTTTCAACTGTAATCGATATTTGATTTGAATGAACCATAAGTTAGTAAATTTATTAATTTAAATATTGGGTGAACAAGCATTCATCATTTTTATATCGAAATTCGGTAAGATAATTTTTTGGATCTCAATTAAAGGTTTTGTTTGCTTTCTCGAAGTCCTTTATCATGCTTTTATACTTGTTTTATTATCCATTTATCGCCTCTATGCCGATTATGGAATCAAATTAAACTTGCTTATTCGTTGCCGTTTATTGCAATAATTTCGTTGACAATGTTTGTAATATATCGAAACTTTATGACCAAGTGAATCAATGAACTCGGATATCCTTAAAGGTCAATTACAGGTTTAATATTTTATTATGTAGTTAAATTCGACAGTAAAACATCCTGTTGCGATTTAACGTCAATTGTCTGCAATGCCATTACTGTATATGTTTTATTGGTGATTCGGATTTATAATACCTGAGCACTACGATGGTTAGTTGGATCTTTAAAAAATCTGTCTGGTATTGCCACAAAGTTATAAATTTAGCAAAATTTTGGATAAAGCAGTATGCATGCTTCAGGAAGCCTCTAAAAATAATATATAGAATAATATTATAAAACTATTAATTTTCAGGAAGCATTCTTATTGTTAACTATCTAATGGTCCGGTAGTTTGGAGATAATAGGTTTTTGAACCGAAAACAACATGGTCAAAAACACTACTTTAGAAAACATTCCAAAGCGACGTTTTATGTCTAAGAAGTTTCACGGGTGATGAAATAGGGTCGTATTTATACTCTGGGGTTAAATCGTAGTCGGCAAAGACGACAACGTTCAAACCAGGTTAGGAAATAGCAATTACAATATAGATACTTGTGGATAAAATATATTTTGAAAATCTGGTGAATATATTCTATTTTTCAGATACCGTCAAATATACTGAAGATATGCTAGACGAGAAAACCCAATTAAGATACTTCTATATTTCAAACCTCGCTACTTTTTCTCGAGCCCAAAACCAATGTCGGAAGCTTGGGGGGCATGTCATGTCAGATCCAAGACCCGATATTTTTAAGTGGGGTTTAAGTGCTCATAATAACCCCGTAAGTAAAAATAACTTATAAGTTGCATACTTCAAAACAGAGCATGTATGATTCCATTCAAACCAAAAATAGTTCTACAAGAATTAATTTCAAACAACCAATAATACACGATAAGAGTGAATTCAAAAGTAACTTATTATCAAAAATTTGGAAAAGTAGTTAAAATCTGAGTATGGTAGTTGATCCATGAAGATGGTAGTTTCTTCCATCCTGAGGTACATGCATAAAGTGTATTTTAAGCGTTTTAGTTGCACGAGAAGATCGGAAAAAATATTTATTGCGATAAAATTCTCTTGCAGTCTGTTATCATTTGGATCAGTTTATGGTATGATAATGTAAAATGCATTGCAATGAATTTAAACGACTACTTGAAGCCAATAATAATTTCATGCAACGACAGGAGGGCGTATGTGTGCCAAGCCCCAACTACAGGTACGGTAAATTTTTCTTTTTCAAATTGTTTATATGGTCACAATCATATAATGTACTCGGCTTTTCCATGAATAAAGCACTTAATAAAAATAATATTAGTACCTAAAATGCAATGTTTTATGACTGACTTAAGCTTATTATCAAATAGTGGAGTGGAGATCAATATATATATATTGTGCTAAGATTGGAAGTTTCCCTGTTCAAGTACCATGACACTCACAAACACGATATATATAAAATATGGGAAATCATGTTAGGTATACGTTTAGTATATTCGACTTTATAATTCAGCATCAGTTTAAAACTATTAAAGAATCTATGTATATGATTGCGTTCTAATATATTTACAGGTGTTTGTTCGAAAGAGATTCAAAGCAAATTTTGCGATAACACAATTGCTGGACACTGCCATCATACTCAAACTGGATTTGAATGTTGTAAAAGGGGATTTGAGATGATGGAGAATGGTACTTGCGTTGATCGTAACAGCATTTTATGTCCACCAAAAGACGAAAACTGCGTGTACAAAAATGGATCAAGTGTATGTTTCTGCCCTGATAATATGCAAGGAAATGGAATAAATGCTTGCGGACGTAAGTATCGTTTATATACAATATAACAAACGATATTGCAGTTGCAATACTTCTGAATATTTGGGGATTTGTTGAAATGGTGTTCACGAAGCTTTCACTATTCTTTATGTTGTTGTTAAAGAAAACGTAATTAAACGTTTGAGATAATTTTAGTCTGTGGAATTTTGTATGCCACTCAGTTTGTTAAATGCAAATTAAAGTTTAAATGTTATTTTCTTTGTTTTTCAGATATAATAACATTATGGCAAATTGTTAGATATCCTGACCTCAAACTACCAGCTACTGAATGCGCTGTGAGAGATAAAGCAAATCGTCTTCGTGATTTATTTTCTAAACACCTGTTAACCAAAATAAACATGCTCATCATAACAAAAATAACTGAGTTTGACACAAAATTATTTAATTTAACATACGATATTTATTGCTCGGATCCGAACATGACACCAGGTGATTTTACCAACGATTTTATTAAAGTCAGACGAACAATGAGAAGTTCAACTGGAAATAAAAAATTATTTTCTGGATGGAGGAAACCTATTCAAGGTATAGTAACGAACTCGATAAAAACTGCAATGTAAAGAATACTGTTTGATTGGCGTAAAATATTGAAACACAATTTTTTAAATATCCTAAAAGCAGCACACACAAAAATAGTTCTAACAAGCAGTTTCGAGAAAAAAAGACTCATCCTATCTTGAATAGAGTTGATGATAAATAGATAGATACAGGCGGACGAGGGTTATTCTTTTTCAAAAAAATAGTTACCGTAATATACAAATATCAAAACCATGAAAGCTTTACTCTTGGTTGGCACGATGAAGAATGGTTTATATTCTGTTTAAAGGCTGTCTTGCATGGTTTACCAATAACGCACGTAATCTACCTCCGATTTTTTTTCAGCTTCTTTAGAGTGTGCACCAAAAGAAATAGGGTACGGAAAAAGATTATATCATTTTAAGGCAGCAGATGCCGGTTCACTAGCGTTTTCAGGAGAAAACTCCTCATTGGGTAAGAATTCATTTCTTAGATATCATAATGGACTTCGTTCAATGACTATTATATCATTTTCATTATAATTGCAAGCTAAAATATTAATTAGCACTCAGTTCAAATTTGCAAATAATCTGTAAGTAGTTCTCAAATATACATAGTAAATATATCTTGTAATTGTGTTTCTCAGGATCATCTGAAGCTACTCTGCCTTGTAAAATAAGAAAATACTCAGATGGTAGTGAATCAGCATACTTGGACTATACAGCATTTAGATTTCCACGTAATATGGTATGTATAGTATGAGTGTTTCTGTATTCATTCCCCTGAGCAACATTTTACACATTTTAAACAGCGTATACACAAAGTATGGGAGTATAACTGATTCTTTTTCGTCTAGAAACATCATTTTATCAAAGATAGCTTCTGTATAGTAAAATACGCAGACATAAAATAATGGTATTGAATATACAAGCTTCATCATTTAATTTATACTTTGCATAATTGAGCAACTCCTCACCCGGCGTTGGATCTTTGATTACAATATTTTTGTAGTTTTAATGTAGTGTAGTTTCGTTAACCTTGTCCTATCTTTTTTTTTATAGAAAGACTTGAAATCATTTATTTTTATATTTCAAACATTGGTAGTTTTAAATATAATATTGGTCGGTCGCATGCCGGATTTGATGCTATAAAACGTAATAAAGGTTCACCAAGCATGAATGAATATTTATAGGGTCATGCTTTCCATACTTTGAACTTCAATTGATTCGATTGATCATTATTGCTTTTTTTCGAGAATCATTCTAATTTTAATCCAAAAACATTTTTTTTGTTCGTGATATCAATTTATTATATAAAAATTTAAAGTACTGCATTAAAATCTCCTGTATCCTCGTAACCCTCTTTTACAATATATCTGGAATAATGTATACAATTTTCAATAGATTGACACTACGAGTGGACCAATATCTATCGAAACAACGGCTGGCGATGTAACAAACGGAAGTACGCTAATGTATAGATTTAAGAAATACTACAACGAAAGAATACTCGACTCGATAAATACAACTAATGATGTCAGGAGAACAGAGGTAGGGACATTAATTTTTTTTTTCACATTGATTTTCTTTCTGAAGTTTTTGTTAAAATTTGGCCCAAAATGAATGAAGTCCACTTCTGAGTATATTCTGCATGAACAATTAAACTTAGGTAATTTTAGAAAATCTAGAATTTTCAGATATTCACCTATTTATTTGGCTGAATATTTAACTTTTTTGTTTGTCACTGAAAGAAAATCTGTCCTTTAAAATAAAATCCGGAAACCCTATTGGTGAAACTATTACTTTTTTAATATATAAATTATAATATAAAAATATAAATTCATAGAAAGAAATATGAAACTGCATGAACAAATATTTCCCATCACCCTCCTCTGACGAACTTTTAGGTCAGAAAGGTTGGTTTCGAAGAACTCATTTACATGGCAAATGAACTCCTTAGTGAAAACCAAAAGTACGATACTTCTGAAAACATCGATGTTGCCCTGTCGGTGGAAACTCTAACGACTACAATAAAACTGCAGCCAAACAATACATTCAGATTAAATACGTCTTCAATTTACGTAGAGGTTCAGCAGGTACCTATTATATCTGGTATATTCAGCAATATATCTGCAAGTAATTTCAATTAAATTTCTTTAGAAAAAAGGTTAATATAATTTTAATATATAAATGCATTGGATGAAAATTTTTTTATTTTCTTTAAAAATTCATCGATAAAACACTACGATCTTGGACAAAATCCGGGAAATTGAACTATTTTACGGGTTAAAGCTTATGGGCACGACATGGCCCTTGAGGTGTAACTTTTTGCTGATGTCTACAATGCTGCTGTCTTATTTAATTAGTTCACATCATATCATTATACCGATGTACAAATGAAAGACACTGAATACGAAGTGGAAGGAATAAAGGCATTTTTACCCGGAAGCGCAGTTGATAAAGCATTACATATGGCAGAAGAAAAACGCACTTCTGTATCCTTTGTAGTGTTTCGAAATGCTAGTTTCTTTCAGACATCGGATGATATTGCCATAGATCAAGTAAGTACCTTGGTAACATTGTGATGATGTATCTCTGTTTGCTTATAAGCAATCTCGAGTTGAACACAATCCGTTTTGAACATTTCCATACTACTTGTATATGCATTACTATCCATGGGAAGGTTTAATGAAACAATCACAAAAAACTACCAGATGAAATATTGTTAAAATGAGCTGCAATAGTTTATATATGAATATATTCTTAATAAACACTTCTTAAATACCACTAATTTTGTTTTTAACGTTGGATCATCTTTTTCTTCTTTCAGGTACTATCGTGCAGCATTGCAGACAAGAAAATTACTAATTTGTTGGAACCATTTTGGTATCAGATGCCTGTAAGTTATGAGAAGGCAAACGTAAGTAATATTCAATGTGTAAACGTGCTCATAATTTGTCTGATGAAGTTCAATATAAAATATTCAATATTGCATTAACTATTAGAAGTTATTGTCCATGAATTTGGCAAAATTTCAGTTCTTGTTGAGTTTTTATTGTTGGGAAATTGCTTTTCGTCGCAATTTCATAAAAAAAAAGGCCAAACGTTGTCTGCGTCAATACCACAATAATATGATTGTTCGCAGTCAACAGTGATAAGAAAAAGTCACAGCCCGATATAAAAGAAAACAATTTTTCGTACTGTACGAACATATTTGATCATTATTCATTTTTGATCACTATTTCTATATCAATATTAATGTTAGCCGTTGACAGTCGCCGACCGACATTCAATGTTTCTTCTCCCAACTTGTCATTTAAGATTGCCAAAGTTAACTTAAAGCTAGTAATAGTTTAGGCTACCAAATACACTATTCAGCTATACCCTACTAACATCACTTCAGTCTACTGACTGAACTAACCATAATCAATTCAATGACGTTGGTGATGTAACAATATCTCAATGGTAAATTTCATCACGAATCAACGCCAAAATGCGATTTTTTGGTTTTTCCATATCATTTGTGTTTATACAGGAAACACGCCGAGTAAAATTTATAAAATGTGCTTATTACGATGTTGAAATGAAAGACTGGAATTCCGATGGATGTTCGTATGTCACTGGATCAAATCCGCCAAATTGTACTTGCAATCATTTAACGAATTTTGCTGTATTAGTAGTAAGTTATTGCATAACGTTATCTAGTTTTAATCTAGTTTCACAGCCATATTTATACAGATTCCGAAAGCTAACTTTTTGTTATGTTGTCTTTTGTATATAATAGGAATTTAGGGTGTTTATGTTTTAATCATGACTGATAGACTAATCTCCCATTTCTGGCATGCCCCTCACATTAACGATTAATTGTAAAACTTGAACGTTGATTAGTTATATTTTTTGAAAATACAGGCATTGTCTGAATTATATATTCTACTGATCTTTACTTCAACACTTAGTATATATATAATAAATTCAGTATGGATTGCTTAGGTTCGGTGCTGAATAGCATTTGAGATATTGTAATTTAATGTCTATTGGGCACAATAGTCGTGACATTATTATATTTTTAGAAAACAGCCAATTTGACGGATCCGTATACCTTGGAAATATTCGGAAAGGTCGGATGTTCACTTTCTGTGATCGGACTTGCTTTGATGTTGCTGTGCATTTGTTATTTTTCGTAAGTAATGAAATAAAAAGGCCTTTAGGATTTTTATTTTTATGTATTCTGCTATTGTCTTCTGTTGTATCCAGTAAGTTTCCCAGCTTTTCCTTTTAGGGGTGTGGGGTTGGTGGTCGAAATTTAAGGCGTGGTAAAACTTTTGCTATTAGGTATAAAACATATAAAAATGTGTTATTTGTTTGGCAGACTATGTACACTGATAAATATGCCATATTCTATATATTTAAATGCAATGGTATATTTAAGTCAGAAATAACAACATTGTGGTATCACACACGTGGAGGGGGGTGGGGTTTGGGGAATAAATATATCATTACAGTCAAATACTTCATTTTCAGATCTTTAAGAAAGAATTTGACGAATCAAATACACTCCGTTCTCGGATTCAGCCTCTTAGTAGCATACGTTTTGTTTCTGACGGGTGTTGAGCAGATAAATAATAGAAATGGCTGTATTACTATTGCAGCATTCCTACATTTCTTTTTACTATCTGCATGGGGATGGATGATAGTTGAATGTGCCACTATGTACAAGTAAGAAATAATTATAATATTGTAAAACTATTCTAACTTTGTATAACTTTCTGTGGATATGTAACGTCGTTATTTGCACGTTAAGTCGACATTTGGTTGTCGCTGCAATATCAGTTGTAAAGGGAAATTTTGATCGTCTTGTTCAATTGCCGACTTTTATAAAAATGTGTTAACTCTTGTGGCGCGTATAGTAGGCACTGCTAGTGCTGTGTCCAGTTTTTTCACAATTATTAGACAACGTAAAACAGGAAACAATATTTTCAGGTTTTTGACAAAAGTTACGTGTGATGTATGGTTTGCAACATTTGGTGCTTGAGTTTAAAATGATTTCCCACAATTGATAATGGCATACACATTCATGTTCAAGTAAAATAAAGTACAAGCCACTTTGTCGGCATTATGGTCGGTTGTCTAGGTCGAAGCAACAAAATACTGTTAATGTCATTAGTTATATCTAGCTTTATGAAATGATAAAATACTTGGAAAATAATTAACAGAGCTGTTATTTGGTATACGAAACTCTTCTAAGGGTTAATAATGAAGATGCAATTTTTTATCCATTTGAACACTTTTTCCAGGAAGCTTGTTTCAGTGTTTGGTTCAACGGGACCCTACTACATAGTGAAGGCTGCAGTCATGGTATACAGTGGTTCCGCTCTCATTGCTGTTGTCACCGTGGCTGTCGCTGTAGGTTGGTTTGATAGAAAATTTCTCAAGGATTGGAACCCTATGACAGAAGGTAATCACAAAATGGATATATAGAATAACTTTGTCGTGATCATGATTAAATTATTTTTGATTATGTAGTTAACAATACAGTGTTATTGATGTCGTGCAGTGATTTTCTACCTTCTTAATTTCGTAATCCTTTGACTGTACTGACGAATCCTTACGGTTTAGCGGAACGCCGGTTAAAATCCACTGGTACAGTGTAACAGTTTTATGACTGATTCTCTTTTCGATACACAGGTATAACGTAAATATCAGATCAATATTTAGATCAATCTTCTGCTGATCAATATTTTTTTTACCAAACCCATAGGCTGCCAATGCGTGTGCAGACGTTGATGCTCGGTGTTGATTGGAAATATACAAATAAATACCCTACTCAGTTGAACTATTTTTTTTTTGCAGAAGATGGAATGTTTGCTCCTTCTAAATACATAAGTCAACGATTATGCTGGCTCCATAACTATTCATTAATTGTTGGATTTTTGATGCCTATCGCTATAGCTCTCGTTATAAATATATTTGGCTTCATCGCAATTTCAAAAGCAATTACTTGTGATCGGTCAAAGGTAATGTATATACCTACCTCAGTTATGAACTGGCCAATCTTTGAATTCTTAATGAGATAATAGATCAACTACTAATCGCTTTTAATATATATATATATATACAGTGGATCATCATTGTGTGTTTAAATTTTAGTTTTGTGTGATCTTGAAAAAATGGACTAGTTCTATAAAAAATAAGCAATGGTACTTTGAACTCATGAAAGAGTGACAAATAGTTAGCAGGGCGGAAGTTTACACAATTGTGGACTTGTGCTTGTACTATACTTTTAGGCAATATTTAGAGTTGAATTGAGAAGCAGCCTGTTTGAAAACATCGACATATCTTCTTTCGTATGAAAAGAATACATTAAAGCTTTTTTTCTATGCTTCTCACATCCAAAATTGGATTGTGGCCTATTTAATGAGTTTTTACTTTTCTAGATACTATTAAAGTCAAACCAAAAGAAAACTTCACTTCAGGAGGCAAAGACTTATCTTACAAGAGCCATTATCTTCACTTTTTTACTAGGACTAGCATGGCTATTTGCTATTCCTTTAACAATGTCCGATGATGATAAAACGAACATTGTGTTTGGATGGCTGTTCTCTGTCGCCAACTCATTGCAGGTGAAAAAAATAACAACTTTACTGTTTTATTTAAAATTCATCGCAAACAAGATTTTAGTTTAGTGAATAGTAGTTTGCTCTATTAGGAAGTTTGATGGTTTATTAATATATAATCGGATGGAGATTGTGTATAAAATAAAAAATAAAAAGCTCAACGATATCAATAATTTGGATTTTCTGATTTAAACTAAAATATATATTTCTTACAACCAGGTCTTTTGTAAAATATAAGTTTTAATGAGATGCTCAACTTTTTGAAATTGAAGAATGTAATAAGGCGTGTAAGTATAAATAAAAATACTGGAATTGTTTTTACAGGGTTTCTTTGTCTTTTTTCTATTTTGCATTCGAAGAAAAGATGTTCGTGATTTATGGACAACAGAACTATTAAAACTATTATGCATAAAAAGAAAAGATAGTCATGTGAAAGGTGATACTATTAGAACTTTAGAGTTGAGTCTGATACAATCGGTCTGTAAGCTCTTGATACATTTTTGATATTACAAATAACAGGTCAGCTGAAGATACATGGAACACCAGGAACAAGTACACCACAGACTAAAAAGACTGATTTAACAGTAACATACACGAAGACTAACAAAGTTAAAGTTTGATACCATAAGTTAACAAAACAGCGAAGGGCTGTTATGAGTTGAAAGCTTCAATTCCAAATGCCTGTTTCATAGATCCAGTCAAGTTTGTCGCAAAACAAAACTATGGCTGAAGAAATTAATTAAAACATATTCAATGCGAACTGTAATACTGATATTGATACTCGGACTAACTTGGTTATTTGTTATTCCATTAGAAATATCGGAAGATGTTACCACAAATATTGTTTTGGGTTGGCTTTTCTCAATCACAAATGCGCTACAGGTGAAAAATTCATATATATATAGATCGTTTTGCTAATTTTTAGTTGCTGTTTCTGTTAAAAAAAATTCGCTTTTCTCCGCAACTAGTGCAACAATCGTTTTCCAATTTTCAGTTATCAATGATGGAAAAGTCGCTCGAAAGCTATTTTTAATTTGTCTGGGTAATGTGGGACTCGATATTTGCCTGCGAATGGTATGTAATACAGTCACAACATTATAATATCAAAGATGGTGCGTATCGATATTTTCTCTTCAATTCCTTGCGATAAAGTCATACAGTTTTCCCTTTGTATTTTCAATAAAAACATGCAGCAATAATATGATTCACTTTGTTCACTCCCACTTACCTCATTGTATTTATCAATACTATGTAAGCAACACCAGTGTAATATTAACATAACCATTGTTTTTCTTCCAGGGTTTCTTTTTATTTTTTCTCTTCTGTATTTGGTGGGTGGACTGTTGAAAATATGAAAATAAATATTGAAATAAAAAAATGGATATCTACCATCTAATCTATGTGTTCGATAAAATCTCGTGTGCTATGGTCTGGTTGTAAAAGCGTTAGAATTGGGTTCAAATCCCATGCTCATCACCTCATACAGGGTGTAATAAATTGTGTAGGCCATGCTGAACACAATGATTCTGGTATTTCTATAATTTAATACCTCATAGTAAGATGGATGTACAAAACCTTGTACAAAGCCTTGCTTACTTTATTTGACACGTTAGTGGATCTATGGATCGTTTCAATATTATGTTGTTGTTGTTGTTGTTGTTGTTCTTAACACGTTATGAAAAAGTCGTTTTTCTCTTTGATTACTTTGAATCTTACTATGACCGATTTTCTCTTTGCTTTGAAATTTTTAGTGGTTAAAGATTGATTTTTTGCCAGAAGGCTATTACTTTTATTTTTTAATATTGGAAACGGAGTGGACCGAGGGATCGTTTTATGTTTTTTTGGAAACCTAGTGGAAAACCTAAAAAGTCGCTTTTATGCTGGCACTCTTCTTTTGATCACGTGCTCATCGAACGTCGGTTGTGTGTCACAAAGTTCTTGCTTTCCTAACGGGGAATGGCGTACAGCGCCGCATGTACCGGTAGCGACAAAGGTGAAGATTCCTTCTCTCTGATTAACGTGTCCATATATTTGACCGTTGCTCTCTTGTTCCTAACAGGTATTGTAAAATGGGCCATGGCTTGTATTAGGTATTCATTTTAAGTATTCAAAAGAACTAAACAGACTATTTCATCACTATAGAGCCTGACAAAGGACGGAAATATCGCCGGTCCCTAATACAAGAAACAGACAAAAAATATTTGCGACAGTAAATTTCAAAACAAATGGTAGCAAAAGTGAAGCACAACAGTTGCAAACTGCCATGTAGTAATTTACAATCCTAAAAGTGATGTCATCGACTCCATTATATTGCGTAATTCTTATTTCATTTTTTTGAGTATCGGCAAACAACAGTAATTGAGTGAAATATAATAGCCAGCCAGTGTGAACAAAGCAATTAAATTAGATGAGAAAAATGTATTGGGTAAGATATCAGTATTTCTCAATTTGTGGTGGTGGCAACATGCTACGTGTTATTTAGGTTTTAAAAGACGTGACTCCTTGGGAAGGTTCGAAGATGAAACATAAATGTATTTTTTCCAAAAATTAACGAAATACTTGTTACATAAAGCTGGCTTTTTTCGTTATAAATAATGAAACACAAATTACATGTCGATCTAGATTTTAGTTGCTAAGTTGTTGTCTAGTCGAAAGTTACCTTCCGGTTCAAACACTTTAGCATAACTTTTAAGAAATGCATTGCTTAGTCAGTTCATAAAAAATCGTCACAATGCTTGAAATAGCGTATTTATTGCCGGAAATTTCCACGATTTTAGCCCTGCTACGCAAGAAATTTCTAAAGTCGTGTAAATTTCAAGTTGTCATGAATGAGCCGTTGATTTAAACAGTAGGTATTGATACAAACATCTCTTCCTGGAATTACGTGTAATTGCGTCATCCTTGGTAAAATTGAAACAGACAAGGCCGAGCAACAGACCAAATGGTTTTCAACTGTTTTGAGAAAGAATGCAAAATTCGATTGTTATATGGGCTTGTGTTATGCTGCTTTTCTGTGCCAATTTGACCGTGTTCCATTGAATTTAATATTTCCCTATTAATCATAGATGATATAATATTGGATTCAATAACCAAAAAAAAAAACTTTCAAAGCACAGTCATGTTACTGATATAAGTTCAAGTCGAATGCCGCCCGCTTCATATCATGGCGGATTGTTATCTTTTCTCATAATGGTTTAACTAAGAACATAATACGAAAATTCTGAGCAGAGAAGTCTACGGTGAAATAGTTATCATGTTTATCACGCGTAAGTGTTAGTGAGCGTCCCTCTTATGCCAGAAGGACAGGGTAGCGTAGAAGATCAACAATAACGCTAGAATCCATACTTTTCTAACGATCTCCCCTTGTTTGCTCATGGAGAATCCGAGCCGGTGTTAACTATCCACCGCGGAGTTGTCCAGGGATCAGTAATAGCCCTTCACTTTCTTGTTGTTGAAAACGATTGATTAGAATTAAAATTCCATAATACGCCGCAACAAACTACAAATGAATGATGACAACTCCAAAGTAAATCAGTCTGAAATCGCGTATTAAATTGAACCACTGTATACTAAGTGGTCAGTATTATTAAACGCCCGTTAAAACATATCGGTTTTCACGATCAAATGTATTTACTCTTAAATCGCCCTCAATTATTAGCGAATAGACGTTTTGCAACAGTGGCGACCCAAACTCCAGAAAATCCCGCTTTTTCAAAGCTAAATAGTTGCCACGTAAAACGGTGAAAGGGGTTCAGACAGGTGGCGCTAAAGGATAGATGCAGTGGGTGGTAAGTTACATGTGTAATCGCCATATGCATCAAAAAACATCCGAAGAAATCAATTTTTTGTTCTCACTTCCTCACCGAACAACTACTTCCTACAAGTCTTTCACGAATATAGGTATAGGGATACAGTACTTATATCCAGCTGACATAGTTCATAACGTCAGAGTGATTTTATACATTGTAACGCATTCAAACAATCAAAAATAGTTGCTTACCGTATTTCCCGGCGAATAAGTTTACCCGTCAAATAAGACGAGGCCCGTTATTAAGCCTGTAAAAATAGGTTTTGCATATAACCTGCCAATAAGACGCGTGGTAAAATCGCATCAACATCGGAATCTCAAATTACCATGCAAAGGCTTGTGAGCGGTGGCCGCGTTTGCGCATTGGTTAAAATACCCTATAATGACTTTTTTTAGTGTAGTATTCAACACATAGCAACTACAGGTATTCAAACTGTCTTTCAATTTCAATCTAATTTTGTTCAACGTAACTCTCGGTTGCGTCCACCATATAAGAACACTGCCGATCTGAAATAACACAGCAATCTGCGGACATAATAATGTGGGATACACCACCTGATTATATTTAGTTTGTATAAACAAATATACATATAAAATGTATGTATGAAACATACATATTTATCACCTGGAAATCTGAAATGTTTTGCTTCCTTGATTTATTTGTGTTCAATTTAATCTGCAATTGGGACAATATAAATTAGTCTCACTACTCCAAATTTCCAACGCAATCCGTGGACATAAACATGTACGATTATATATTTTTTTGATTCTTATTTTTGCAATTTAAAAACATATCTAAGCTGTTGCAGCCGAGTAAATTTATATTGAAATTTTGTATTAAATATACTTTACAATACGGTATTATACATATATCATGGTCACGCCAGATGATGCTATCGCCGAAGGTATTTTAAGGTCGTAATTTAATAATAAGGCGACACCAAAAAAAATTGAAAATTATCATACTCGCCTCATAAGACAACCCCACAAATCAGGTCAAATATTTGGGTCTAGAAAAGCGACTTATTCGCCGGGAAATACGGGTATTTTATGTTTATATTCCTTTTAAAACTAGTGACATGTTTATTGGACACGTAGTGAATCTATGACTGGTTTTGTTATTATGTTGTTGTTAGTATTCCTCTTGGTGTTGTTTTTCGACTTGTTGTTGTTACTGATTTTGTAAAACAATCGATTTTATCTTTATCTAATAGACCAACTGCATTGAAATTTATCGCTATTTATCGTTATTTTTATCGCTAGAAAGCTATTACTTTTATTTATTTTATGGGATTTATTTTACAATTCGCAATTTAACTTGATGACGTCTTCAAAGTTAAAACTTGTGTACCGTATGGCTGTTCCGCGATTGCATTTCAGCGATCTGGCGGTCAGTCAGACTGCCGATACTGCGAAGACTTGATACTGAACGACTAAACTAAACGACGCTACTAAATAGTTCTTACTCCTGCCATTTCTCTCAACAATCAAGTATGCCAAATACTAATCAATCACTTTATACGACGCAATTTTATTTTTTGAAGAATAGACACGACAAAATTTTTGCGAGTCAAATAAAGCTTTTGTTTGTAGAAAATAGGAAATTTATGATAAGAGACGAATTCAAGATGAGAAGGTATTAGAAGAAAAGCAGTCATAAAGAAATTAATTTTCTGCAATGAAGAGCATAGCGGTGGAATTCAATGTTTTAAAAATGGTTACCATTGGTAATATTTTGCATACAGGTTTTCTGAGAGATATTCGACGAGATTATGGGAAGTAACTTAAAAGGGTTGGTTAAATACAAAGCAAATAATAAAAAAAAATATTTCCAGGTAAGGAATTAAAGGAACCATGTAGAAAAAAATGATGAAATTTACAATACAAGGTAAGAAATCGCCCAGATAGTCTCCAATCAATTTATGACAAATACTTTGTACAACCCCTTTAATTTTTTTTTATTCTGTATTTTAAACTATATTAATTTGTTGACAGTTCGCTAAAATAATAATATGCTTCTTGCTTTACGGGTAAGTTTGATTGAATCCGGCTTGGTCCTAGTGATTGCACATATTGTTTCGGGCTGCCACTGTTCTGTTAATAAAATTGACCCAGGTGAGTGAATAATATTGTATTGACATTGGTCATATTATGCCTGAGCAATGTCATTAATCAATTTAGGACAAATATATATATATACCGAATTTATGCGCGCTGATTAGCTATACGTTAAGAATAAATAGAAATGAATACACGTCTTTGTGATTCTAAACTTTGTTCTCTTTATCCTTGATACCAAGCAAGTCTTGTAACCAAGCATTCTGTCTTGCGAAAGACACATTGTTTAATAATCATATTCGTATTTGTGCAGAATGTTCACGTGAAAATCCTGTTTGTCTCAACGGCGGCACGATGGGCTTTTCAAATGAAATATGTCAATGTACGCCTGAGTGGAAGGGAGACTTTTGTGATATTCCCGTAAAAGTGTCAGTTTGTAAGTTTACTAAACTATATCCAATAAACTGGTCAATCAAAGCTAGAAATAGGGATTTTAGTTTTGTATTGATACAAAAAAGATAGCTGAAATATTATGAAAAATAAGTGCAAATGTAAATATTATTCTGTATAAAATAATCTGCTCGTATATAAGTATCATCTTGATATTGTGAAAATTATTCTATCTCCTATTGCGATTCATATGGCTGTTCAGCTAAATACCGCATAAAAAATATTTTCTACGAAATACAAGCATGTACTTGAATTTTCGTGATATTAAAATTGATCACCAAATTTGATCATTTTGGCAATTTTTGGCAATGTATTTTTGATTCAGTAGCTAAAACTTGGTATCAACATCAAAAATATAACTAAAATAAAATGGATTATTATTTCATTACTCGATTATCTAAAAGTGAGTTTATCTTGTGATACAAGATATAAATTTGCAGTGGCCTTTCATCGTTTTTGTACTTTGAATTCTCCTCATAAAGGTATTCACTACAAGACTTTTAATAAATTCTTTTTCTGTCGAAATGAATCGCGAGATCGTATTGGAGTGAGAATCTACTAATGAACAAAAAAGATTTTTACGTTGAAAAACTATACATGGTATGAATCAAACAAACAGTAATTTGATGATATTATGTATTTTTCTGCACCGCAATTTTTATTAGTTTCCCTGATTCATTATTTTTATAATTGCTCTTTTTTTTCACCGAAGTTCAATGCACCTTATTGAGCATAAATTAGTGTAAGAGGAGCCATTACTATACAATTTATTGTAGCGTTTAAATATTAACTTCACGTGAAGTTATTCAACTCCATATTTCACGATGACCAAAAATTGTATAAAATTGGAAAATGTTGTAAAAATTGATCAGGAAACATTCGACTTGATATATAATGACTATTGCAATTTTTTTGTGAAAAGTCGATATCAGTTCAAAACAACGTGACTTTATATTATATTTTAGCATACGTGATAAAATATCAAATACTAAAACTGGCTAAGAATTAAACCACACGTATTTTGGATTAAAGCGTTGGACTCAGTTGGCATCGGAGGTTACAGGACTCTGGTTGAAATCCAAAGCCTGCCACCTCACCATGGGTGTGGTAGATTGAGTAGACAATGCCTAAAATGTTTCGATACTTCCAAAACATGGTAGCTCACCAATGGAGGCTTGTACAAGTTCCTATTCGTAGTGAATACGTGACGAATTGTAGAATAAGAAATAGTTTCATGAGATATTCGGATTAATTTACAGAAATATATTTATTAAACTCGTTTTTTACCTTAAATTTATTTATTGTCCTATTTTTCAGACTGCAGGAAATCTAATGAATGCAAATATGGAGGATCGTGTGTCGATGGCAAATGTCAATGTACAAATTCGCGGACAGGTAGACAATGCCAAATTAACGTTCAAGGTAAACTTTCATATTCCCATTATCGACACATATTGATCGTCTAACAAAGCTACTAACTCACAAAAGCAAAGAAATAGACACTGAGCATAAAATTCAGTTTACTAACCCAAACTGACATCCACAAATAAAACAAACTACAATTTGACATCGCGAGAAATTAGCGCAATATATTTCAACACAGTTCGAGTTCAGAGTTGAAACTAAACCCTTGGAATTTTTAACTGTAATCGATATTTGATCTGATGAACCATAAGTTAGTAAATTTGTTAATTTAAATATTGGGTGAACAAATACTCCTCCTTTTATATCACAATTCAGTAACTTAATTTTTCTTGTACGATTGAATCCCAATTAAAGGTTTGGTTTGCATTCTTGAGGGCCTTAATCATGCTTTTATACATGTTTCATTATCCATTCATCGTCTTTATGCCAATTATGAATTTAAAGTAAACTTGCTTATTCATTGCCATTCATCGCAATAATTTTGTTGACAATATTTGTAATATACCGAAGCTCTATGACGGTCAACAATGTTTCAAGTGAATCGATGAATTCAGATTACTTCAAAGGTCAATCACAAGCTTAATATGTTAGTATTAGTATGTAGTTAAATTTGGTGACCAGACAGCCTGTTGTGGGTTAATGTCAACTGTCTGTAAAGCTACTACATGTTTTAATAAGTAATTCGGATTTGCAATTCTGGTACACTAGTTGGCCAAAATGGTTGTATCAACAGAAAATCTGTCTGGTATCGCCGCAAAGTTTTGAATTTAGCAAATTGTTGGATAAAGCAGTACGCACGCGGGCATTTTTATTGCTAACTATTGATATGGTCAGTATTAAGAGATAACGGCTATTTGACCCGACAACAACATGGTCTAAACACCAATTTAGAAAACATTACCAAACGACGTTTTTTGCCCAAAAAAGTTTCCCGGGTGCTGAAAAAGAGTCAGTCGTATTTCATACTCTGGAGTTAATAAAAATCTTAATCGCCAGCGACTACACCGTTCTAACCAGGTTGAGAAATATTAATTTATTATATGGATACTTGTGGATAAAATATATTTCGAAAATATGGTGAATATAATCTATTTTGCAGATACCGTCAAGTATTCTGAAGATATACTAGACAAGAAAACCCAATTAAGATACTTCTTTATTTCCACCCCAACTACTTTTTCTCAAGCCAAAAACCAATGCCTGAAGCTTGGGGGGCGTTTCGTGAGAGAACCAGTACCTGATAACTTATTTGGCCGGGGTTTAAGTTCTCATAATAACACGGTAGGTAAAAATATCTTATAAAATTGCAAACTTCAAAACAGAGCATGTCTTATTCCATTTAAACCAAATCTATTTTATTGTAAAAGTGTTGAATTTATGTGCAAATTGAGTATACAAAAATCGTTCTTCAAAAATTTATTCAAAACAACCATTAATTTGCAATAAGAATGACTTGAAAGTAACTTATTTTTAAAAATTCGGAAAATTAGTGAGTAAAAAATACGAGAAAATGTTATGAAGTAGTTTATTCAATCCTGACGTACATTAATAAATAGTATTTTCAGTTTTTCAGTCTTTAGTTGCACGAGAATATCCCAGAAAAATATTGGGATGAAATTTGATGTCAACAGTTGTACCACTCGAGAGTAAAGGGATATTTTAGAATAATTGAATTTTATCATTAGTTAGAAATTTCTCTTGCAGATGGCTTTTAGCATTTGGCTCAGTTTATCATATTACAGAGGAAAATGCATTGCAATAAAATTGAACAACTTGAATGCGATAAAAATTCCATGTAACGACAAGTTGGCATATGTGTGCCAAGTGCCAACTACTGGTAAATTTTTTTTTTTTTTTAATTTTTTATATAATCACAACCATATAACTCGGTCTTTAAGACTATATATTGCTGGTATTAATCATTTGTTCAAGCAATATTATACTTAGAATCAGGAAATATGTAAGGGTTAGACCTGGCTAAGTAATACGTTGGGTATATTCGACTTCATAAGTCACCATTGGTTTAAAACTATTAAAGAGTGTGTATGGTTGCGTTTTAATATATTTGCAGGTGTTTGTTCGGCAGAGATTCATATTAAATTTTGCGATAACACAATTGCTGGGCACTGCCATCATACCAAAACTGGATTTGAATGCTGTAAAAGTGGATTTAAAATGACGGAGAAGGGTACTTGCATCGATCATAACAAGATTTTATGTCCACCAAAAGACGACAACTGTGTGTACAAAAATGGATCAAGTATTTGTTTCTGCCCTGAGGATATGCAAGGAAATGGAATAAACGCGTGTGGGTGTGAGTATCGTTGATATATAACATAATAAACGATAATGCAACTGCAATACTTCTTCGTAGATTTTAATGACCTCGTGTTCACGAGTCTTTCACTATTCTTTACGTTGTTGTTGGAAAAACGTCATTGAAATTGACATAATTTCAGTTTATTATATTTTGAATGTCATTTTTTTTGTTTTGGGCTAATTGAAGTTAAAAATTCCCTCAAATATTCTTTTGTTTATTTTCCAGATATAATAACAATATGGCAAATTGTCATATATCCAGACCTCATACTACCTGCAACTGACTGTGTCGTGAGAGATAAAGCAAATCGTCTCCGTGATTTATTCTCTAAAAACCTGTTAACCAAAATAAACATGCTCATCATAACAAAAATTACTAATTTAGATACAAGATTATTTAATTTAACATACGATATTTATTGCTCGGATCCAAACTTGACGCCACATGATTTTATCAAGGATTTTATTAAAGTCAGACGAGCAATGAGAAAGTCTACTGGAAGTAAAAAAATATTTGCTAGATGGAAGAAACCTATTCAAGGTATAGTAACGAATCCGAGAAAACGTCGATTTAAAGAATACTGTTTGATTATAGACAAAATATTTTAAAATATAATTTTATAAATGTTCTAAAAACTGCAGACAAAGGGTGGTTTCAACTAGCATTTCGTCAAAAAAGACTCATCCTATCTTGAATAAAGTTGATGGTTATACTTAAAAATTATTTATCGTAATTCTACGAAAATCGGGATCACAAAATTTTGTATTTTTGGTTGGCACTGCGAAGAATTGTCTATATTTGGTTTAACGGCTGTCTGATGTGGTTTACCATTAACGTACGTAATCTACCTCCGACTTTTTTCAGCTTCTCTAAAGTGTACGCCAAAAAAAATAGGGTACGGAAAAAGATTATATCATTTCAAGGCAGCAAATGCCGGTTCACTAGCGTTTTCAGAAGAAAACTCCTCATTGGGTAAGAATTCATTTCTTAGACATCATATTGGACTTCTTTAAATCGATTAAATCCAACTCTTTTGCTCAATGACTATTGTACTGTTTTCATCATAATTTCGAACTGGAAATATTCATTAGCAATTAGTTCAAATTTGCAAATAATCTGTAAGTGGTTCTCAAATATATATAGTATAAATGAAATGTGTGTTGTAATTGTTTTTCAGGATCATCTGAAGCTACTCTACCTTGTAAAATAAGAAAATACTCAGATGGTAGTGAATCAGCATACTTGGACTATACAGCATTTAGATTTCCACGTAATATGGTATATATGGTATACGTGTTTCTATAATTTTTCCTCTGGGGAAAATTTTACAAATTTTAAACAACGTATACGCAAGGAAAATATATAGATCTTGCTTTCTATACTTTAAACTTTTATTAATCAATATTGTTTTTGATTCATTTTAATATCAGACCAAAAAAGTTTTTTTTATATCAATATATCATTTTTACTAATTTTTATTTATTATGAAAATTTCAGGTACTGTATTAATATTCTACCTTTTTCATCTTGTACATTTATTATCAATATTAAGTAGCAAAACATCTCAAAATCAAATCTTTTACATTATATCTAGAATAAATGTATACCATTTTCAATAGATTCACACCACGAGTGACCCAGTATATTTTGACACCACGGCTGGCGATGTAGCATACGGAAGTACGCGAATGTATAGATTTAAGAAATACTACAACGAAACAATGCGCGACTCGAAAAATACAACACACGATTTCAGGAGCGCAAAGGTACTGACATTGATTTTTTCATTTTCGTGATTTTTATTTATTATGAAAATTTCAGGTACTGTATTAATATTCTACCTTTTTCATCTTGTACATTTATCATCAATATTAAGTAGCAAAACATCTCGAAATCATATTTTTTACATTATATCTAGAATAAATGTATACCATTTTCAATAGATTCACACTACGAGTGACCCAATATATTTTGAAACCACGGCTGGCGATGTAGCAAACGGAAGTACCCAATGGTATAGATTTAAGAAATACTACAACGAAACAATGCATGATTCGATAAATACAACAAACGATTTCAGGAGCGCCAAGGTACTGACTGACATTGATTTTTTTTTTGACAAAATTGTCCCAAAATGTACAAGTTTCCCTTCTGAGTCAATCTGCATAAAAAGTGAAACTTAAGTAATTCTAAAAAATCTAAATTCATCAGCTACATATTTGATTGGCTGAATATTTAATTTTTTTTGTTTGTCAAAAAATGAAATCCTGTTTTTTAAAATAAAATCTGATAATCTTATTGTTTGAACTATAACTTTTTTAAACTTTAATATTCAAATATAAAAAAAAATTCATTAAAAAAAGTTTATGTTTGAGTTTGATTTTAAGAGTTTAATTCTTCTCCAAGATAATATTCCTATAGTAAAATACGTAGCCATAAAATATTGATATTGACCACACATGTTTCATCATTTATTTTCTACTTCACATAATTGACCCTGCAACTACTCATTTAACGTCTGTGCTACAGTATTTTTGTAGCTACATTGCTTCATTAGACGTGTCCTATCTTTTGTTTTATTTGAAAAAAAAGACTAAAAAACTTTTATTTTCTTTTTTTAATATTTGAAACATTGGTAGTTCTATTCTCATAAATGGCCGATTGTATGCCGGACTTGATGCTATATAAACATCTTATAAAAAGTGTTGTCAATTCAGTAATTAAGGTTCAACAAGAAGGAATGAAAATATCTTTCTACACTTTGAAATTCAATTAATCAATATTGTTTTTAATTCATTCTAATTTCAGACCAAATAGTTGTTTTTTATATCATTTTTCATGACTTTTATATGTTATGAAAATTTCGGGTACTGTATTAATATTCTCTCTTTTTTCATCTTGTACACTGATCACCATTATTAAGTAGCAAAACATCTCGAAATCATATCTTTTACATTATATCTAGAATAAATGTATATACCATTTTCAATAGATTCACACCACGAGTGACCCAGTATATTTTGAAACCACGGCTGGCGATGTAGCAAACGGAAGTACCCAAAGGTATAGATTTAAGAAATACTACAACGAAACAACAATGCACGACTCGATAAAAACAACACACGATTTCAGAAGCGCAAAGGTATTGCCATTGATTTTTTTGACAAGTTTTGGTTAAAATTGTCCCGAAATGGACGAGTTGCACTTCTGAGTCTAATCTACATAAAAAATTAAACTCAAGTAATTCTGGGAAATCTAATATTTTCAGCTACATATTTATGTGGCTGAATATTTAATTTTCTTGTTTGTCAAAAAATTGTATGCCGGACTTGATGCTATATAAACATCTTATATAAAGTGTTGTCAATTTAGTATGAAAAGTTTACCAAGAAGGAATGAAAATCTATAGTTTCTTGCTTTCTATACTTTGAACTTCAATTGACTATCATTGTTTTTGATTCATTCTAATTTCAGAACAAAATTTTTTTTTTTATATCATTATATCATTTTTCATGATTTTTATAATTGTATATATATTACAATATAATTTTTATTATATTCTCCCTTTTTCATCTTGTACACTTATCATCAATATTAAGTAGCAAAACATTTCGAAATCATATTTTTCACATTATATCTAGAATAAATGTATACCATTTCCAATAGATTCACACTACTAGTGACCCAATATATTTTGAAACCACGGCTGGCGATGTAGCAAACGGAAGTAAGCTAATGTATAGATTTAAGAAAAACTACAACGAAACAATGCGCGACTCAAAAAATACAACACACGATTTCAGGAGCGCAAAGGTACTGACATTGATTTTTTCATTTTTCGTGATTTTTATTTATTATGAAAATTTCAGGTACTGTATTAATATTCTCCCTTTTTCCATCTTGTACACTTATCATCAATATTAAATAGCAAAACGTCTCGAAATCATATTTATTACATTATATCTAGAATAAATGTATACCATTTTCAATAGATTCACACTACGAGTGACCCAATATATTTTGAAACCACGGCTGGCGATGTAGCAAACGGAAGTAAGCTAATGTATGGATTTAAGAAATATTACAACGAAACAATGCATGATTCGATAAATACAACAAACGATTTCAAAAGCGCAAAGGTACTGACATTGATTTTCTTCTTTAGTTTTTGTTAAAATTGTCCCAAAATGGACAAGTTGCACTTCTAAGTCTAATCTGCATAAAAAATTAAACTCAACTAATTCTGGGAAATCTAAAATCTTCAGCTACATGTTTATTTGGCTCAATATTTAATTTTTTTGGTTTGTCAAAAATGAATTCCTGTTTTTCAAAATAAAATCTGAAAACCTTCTTGTTTGAACTATAACTTTTTTAAACTATAATATTCAAATATGAAAATATAAATTCATTAAAAAAAGTTTATGATTAGGTTTAATTAAAAAATTTAATTTTTCTCCAAGATAATATCCCTATAGTAAAATACGTAGCCATAAAATAATGATATTGAACATACATGTTTCATCATTTATTTTCTACTTCACATAATTGACCTTGCAACTACTTATTCAGCGCCTTTTACTACAATAATTTTGTAGTTTTAATGCTTTATTAGCCATGTCATAACTTTGATTTATTTGAAAAAAAACTACAAAGCTTTATTTTTGATATTTGAAACATTGGTAGTTCTATGCCTATAAATGGCCGATTGTAAGCCGGACTTGATGCCATATAACAGGGATGGCCAACACGTCGATCTCCACGTCTCGAGCAGTCGATTGCGTCTGATGTTGAGTGAATTTTATTGAAATACCATCCAAAATTGCTTCGAACCAGTTGTTTGTTTTACAACAGGAAGAATACAGTAACTTACATGCGCAAAATACAATATACAGATACACTCACATACAGTATTCGAGTCTGAGCAAGCCCGATAAAGCGTATTATTACGTAACAAATGCAAGTTTTTGCGCTGCCAAGGTTTAATAATGAAGTGTCGAATATCGCGTGTCTGGCTGACAAACGATCCTACAATAACTTCCGCAGTATGCGAGAGGTATTGTCTCTCTCCAAGATACATTTTATTCGCAATGGTAGCAGTGGCATCAAAATGACCAACTTGTTCTAATTCTAAGCAAGCGAAGGATCGCGTTTGGAGGAAATTGTGAATTAGATACTGAAGTTTAAGCAGTCATGTAACATCCATGGTTTGAGAATATTTATTTTTTGCTGTTAGGATATTACATGAATACTTGGCAAAGTTTTTGGGGGAATTTTCAACGCATACGACTAAAAATTAGACACGCCCTTTATCAGAATCGTATGATTTAAATAAATCTCAAATGAATGATGGGATAAACATTTACTCCGGGTACAATTAAATAATCAAATCAACAACTTGAATGGAATATAAAAATTGCAAATTTTGTGTCGATTTTAATAATAATGTGCCCACAAAGCCTTCTTGTTGGAAGCGGTGGAATTTTTTGTATGCGTGTGAACAGTTATCTGCACATTCAGTGCCCATTCGTTTTTGTGTAGGACCTTAATACCAATCAGTCGATTGCGATCCATTTTAAAGATTTTAGTCGATCGCGGTCAAAAGCAGGTTCGCCAGCCCTGCTATATAAACATCTTATAAAAAGTGTTGTCAATTTAGTATAAAAGGTTCACCAAGAAGGAATGAAAATCTATAGTTATTGCTTTCTATACTTTAAACTTCAATTGATCAATATTGTTTTTGATTCATTCTAATTTCAGACCAAAATTTTTCCTCATTATCTAATTAATTATTATAGCATTTTTCGTAATTTTTATTTATTATGAAACTTTCAGGTACTGTATTAACATGCTCTCTTTTCCATTTTGTTCACTGATCACCAATATTAAGTAGCAAAACATCTCGAAATCAAATTTTTTACCATAGATCTGGAATAAATGTATACCATTTTCAATAGATTCACACTACGAGTGACCCAATATATTTTGAAACCACGGCTGGCGATGTAGCAAACGGAAGTACGCTAATGTATAGATTTAAGAAATACTACAACGAAACAATGCATGATTCGATAAATACAACAAACAATTTCACGAGCGCAAAGGTACTGCCATTGATTTTTTTTCGACTATTAGTTTTTGTTAAAATGGTCCTAAAATGGACGAGTTGCACTTCTGAGTCTAATCTGCATAAAAAGTGAAACTTAAGTAATTCTGGGAAATCTAAAATCTTCAGCTACATATTTATTTGGCTGAATATTTAATTTTTTTGTTTGTCAAAAAATGAAATCCTGTCTTTTGAAATAAAATCTGGAAACCTCATTGGTTGAACTATAACTTTTTTAAACTATAATATTCAAATATAAAAATATGAAATCATTAAAAAAAGTTCAGGACACTGCATAAACAAATATCTCCCATCACCCTCCTTTGACGAAATTATAGGCTATAAAGGTTGATATCGAAGAACTAATTTACATGGCAAATGAACTCCTTAGTGAAAGCCGAAACTACGATACTTCTGAAAATATTGATGTCGCCCTGTCGGTGGAAACTCTAACAACTAAAATAAAACCGGAGTCAAACGAAACATTCCGATTGAATTCGTCTGCAATTTACGTAGAAGTTCAGCAGGTGCTTATCATCTCTATCTATATTAAGTATAATAGTTGAAAATATTTTCAATTAGTTTTCTTCAGTACGGGGGGTCATATATATTAGTATAATATATAGAAAGGCATTGCTTGAAAGTATTTCAATTCTTCGATAAAAAAAGTCATCGATAAGACACAATGATATTGGTCAAATTCCACGAGATATTTTTTTTTTACTGTTTAAAGCTCATGGTCACGACATGGTGTTTAGGCCAAGTGTACATGGTAAGGACCACTAGGTCTGAGCGCCAAATTTTCAGTCCTAATTCTTTGATGACGTTTGCAATGTTACTGCCTCATTTCATTAGTTCACACCACATTATACTGATGTACAAATAGAAGACACTGATTTTGAACTGGAAGGAATAAAGGCATTGTTACCTGGAAGCGCAGTTGATAAAGCATTACATATGTCAGAAGAAAAACGTACTTCTGTATCTTTTGTAGTGTTTCGAAATGCTAGTTTCTTTCAGACATCAAAAGATATTGCTGTCGATCAAGTAAGTACCTAGGTAACAGTGTGATTATGTACCCTTTTGGCTTATAAATAACCTCGACTTGAACACAATCTCCGTTTTGAACATTTTCATACTAAATATATGCATTACTATCCAATGCAAGGTTTAATAAAACAATCACTAAAATGTACTAGACGATTTTATTGTTAAAACGAGCTGCAATAGTTTATAAATATATATATATTCTTTATAAACACTTTTTAAATACCACTAATTTTGTCTTTTTATACGTAAGACCATCTTTTTCTTTCTATAGGTACTATCGTGCAGCATTGCTGACAAAAAAATTAACAATTTGGTGGAACCATTTTGGTATCAGATACCTGTAAATTATGAGAAGGTAAATGTAAGTGATATTCAATGTTCATAAATTCAATATCGCATTAACTATTAAGAAGCTATTGGGCATAAAGTCATTTTTCAGAATTGCTGTTCTTGTTGGGGTTTTTATCGTCAAGATAAAATTTTCTCCGCAACTACTGTGGGAAGATGGTCCAACGTTGTCAGCATCTGGGCCACAATATTATTTTTGTAATATTCGCGACTACGGTGCCAAGAATGAGTAAAAAGCACAACACAAAGCAAAAACTTTTATTGTATGAACATATTTGATCAATATTTATCATCCATCAATCTTTCTATACAACATTTATGTTAGTCGTTGACAGTAGCAAACAAGCGTCCAATATCTCGTTTCCCAACCTATCAAAACTTAATAACTGATTTTAGGTTAGTTAACAGTTTGGGCTAGCGAACACATTATTCACCTACGTCATACTAACATCACTCCGGTCTACTGACTGTATCAACTAGCCATACCACTAATCAATTCCATGACGTTGGTAATGTAACAGTATCTCAAAGGACTTTTCTTGTTATCACGAATCAGCGCCAAAATGAGATTTTTTGGTTTTCCCATATCACTTGTGTTTATACAGGAAACACGCCAAGTAAAATTTATAAAATGTGCTTATTACGATGTGGAAATGAAGAACTGGAATTCCGAGGGATGTTCGTATGTCACTGGATCAAATCCGCCAAATTGTACTTGCAATCATTTAACAAATTTTGCTGTATTAGTAGTAAGTTATAGCCTAATGTTTCCTAAATTTAATTTAGTTTTACAGCCAAATTTACGAAGATTCCCAAGGCAAACATTTTGGTATGTTGTGTTTTGTATATATTACAATATTGCATGTCCATCCAACATTTCATTCATTGACATGGAAAGAAATCTTGTTGCCTAATACAATCGAACAAGCGCTTGTTATTGCATAACATTTAATGTTGAATACAATACCGCAGAATTGATAAATATTTTTTTCACCAGATGTATTGCCATATTATTGTCCAAATAATAATATAATGTTTCAGTCATACAATGATTGAATCGATTGATTATATAGCAGGCTAATAGACTAATCTCCATTTCTGGCATGCCCCACACTTTAACGTTAATTTTAAGACTTGAACGTTGATTAGTGATATTTTTTTCAGAAAGACAGGCATTGTCTGTATTATATATTCAATTGATCATCATTTCAAGATTCAGTATATAATTAAGTCAGCATGGATTGCTTAGGTTCAGGGCTGAATAGAATTTAAGACATTGTAACTTAATGTTGCAATGAATGTCTATCGGGCACAATGGTCGTGATTATATTTAACGGTGACAATATTATATTTTTTAGAAAACAGCCAACTTGACGGATCCATATACTTTGGAAATATTCGGAAAGGTCGGATGTTCACTTTCTGTGATTGGACTTGCTTTGATGTTGTTGTGCATTTGTTATTTTTCGTAAGTATTTAATTAAATATCCTTTAGAATTTTTATTTTATGTATTCTGTCATTGACTTCTGTTGTACAACGTAAAATAAGATTTAAAATCAATATAGTATGAATAGTAAATATATCAAAACTGTAAACTATCCATTTCGTTATTGTTCAGATCTTTAAGAAAGAATTTGACGAATCAAATACACTCCTATCTCGGATTCAATCTTTTAGTAGCATATGTTTTGTTTCTGACTGGTGTTGAGCAGATAAATAATAGAAATGGCTGTATTACTATCGCAGCATTCCTGCATTTATTTTTACTATCTGCATGGGGATGGATGATAGTTGAATGTGCCACTATGTACAAGTAAGAGATAATTATAATAATGTAAAACTATTCTAACATTGTCTATCTTTATGCAGATATGTAACGCTGTTATTTGCATATTAAGTCGACATTTGGCTGTCTTTGTAATAACAGTTAAAAAGGGAATTACAATCCATCTTATTCAATTGCCGGCTTTTATCAAAATGAGTTAACCCAAGTAGCGTGTATAGTACAAGTGAACAGACACTGCTAAGTCTAGTTCTTTCACAATTGATGAACAACGTAAAATAAGAAATGAATGTTTGAAAATATGCTTACATATTTAGGTATTTGACAAAAATTACGTGCGATGTATGGTTTGCAACAATTGTCGCTTGAGTTATAAATAAAATTCGACAATTGCTCAATTAGAATGAAGTATGAGCGACTTTGTCGACAGTATGGTCACCTGTCTAGGGTAACAGAACTCTTATTTGGTATATGCAACCCCCTGCAAGAGTTAATAAACAAAGTGCAACTTTTATCCTCTTGACCCCTTTTATAGTAAGCTTGTTTCAGTGTTTGGTTCAACTGGACCCTACTACATAGTAAAGGCTGCAGTCATGGTATACAGTGGTTCCGCTCTAATTGCTGTTGTCACCGTCGCTGTCGCTGTAGGTTGGTTTGATAGAAACTTACTCATGGAGTGGCCCCCTATGACGGAAGGTAATGACAAAATGAATATTGAAAAACATCTTTGTCGTGAACATTATTAAATAGTTTCTTGGCTATGCAGGAAATACAGTATTAATAGTTTAGTGCAGGGGTTTCCCACCTGCTCAATTACGGAGTCCCTGGATTGTACTGACGGAACCTTATGATGTCGAGGAACGCTGGTTGAAATCAACTGGTGTAGTGTAACAGTTTTATGACAGATTTCTTTCCGACACGCAAGCATTACGCAAATAACATTTAAGCTTGTCAGTATTTTAACCACTAAACCCACTGTCAATGCATGTGCAGACGCGAAGTCAGCGTCTATTATGACTATTATTATTACTCAATGTTGCTTGGAAATTTACAAATAAATACCTTCCTCATTCGACCTATTATTTTTTGGCAGAAGATGAAACGAATGCTCCATCTACATACATAAGTGGGCGGTTATGCTGGCTTCATCGTTATTCATTAATTGTTGGATTTTTGGCGCCTATCGCTATTGGTCTCGTTATAAATGCATTTGGCTTCATCGCAATATCAAAAGCAATTACTTGTGATCGGTCGAAGGTAATGTATAAACATACCTAAGTTATGCTCTGGCCAATATTTAGAGTCGTAGTATAGAAAAGATAATATTATAAATACTAGTCACTTTCGGCACATATATTATATACGGTACTCCCGCAGCATGTTAACCAAGATGGCGGACACCGGAACGTAGCATGTGTACTAGCTTATGGTTAGGCCATAATTTCAGGTACAAATACTACGGGAGTCACTTGGCTAGTCTCCGAACTCGAAATAGAACTGAAAAAGGGTAATATTTAGGGTTGAATGAGGAAAGCAGCATATTTGAAAACATCGACATATCTTTTATATGAACCGAGTACATTAAACTATTTTTCTATGCATCCCACACCCAAAATTGATCACAGTCAAAAAACTGTAAAGCTTAACATTAACAAGCTTGCGGCCTATTTCAATATGTTTTACTATTCTAGATACTATTAAGGACAAACCAGAAGAAATCTTCTCTTCAGGAGGCAAAGACATATCTTACAAGAGCCATTATCTTCACTTTTTTACTAGGACTAGCATGGCTATTTGCTATTCCGTTAACAATATCCGAGGATGAAAATACGAACATTGTGTTTGGATGGCTGTTTTCTGTCGCCAACTCGTTGCAGGTGAAAAAAGGAAACATTATGTACTGTTTTGTATAAAGTTCATTGCAAAACAAGATTGTAGTTAGTGAATAGTAGTTTGCTTAATTGAGAGTTTTGAAGGTTTAGTATATAATCGGATTGATATTGTGTATAAAATCCCAAAAATGAAAAGCTCAACGATATTAATAATTTGGCTTCTTTGATTTAAACTAAAATATAATTCTTACAATCAGGTCTCTTGTAAAATATAAGTTTTCATGAGATGCTCTTTTTTTTTAAATTGAAGAATGTAATAAGGCGTGTAAGTATCAATAAAAATATTGACATTTGTTTTTACAGGGTTTCTTTGTCTTTTTTCTTTTCTGCATTCGAAGAAAAGACGTTCGAGATTTATGGACAACAGAAATATTAAAACTATTATGCATAAAAAGAAAAGATAGTCATGTGAAAGGTGATACTATTAAAGCTTAAGTTAAGTCTGATCAAATCGGTCTGTAAACTCGTGATATATTTTTGATATTACAAATAACAGGTCAGACGAAGATAGATGGAACACCAGGAACAAAAACACCACAAACTAAAAGGACTAATGTAACAGTAACATATACAAAGACTAACAAAGTTAAAGTTTAATACCATAAGTTCACAAAACAGCGAGGGGCTGTTATGAGTTGGAAGCTCCAATTTCAAATGCCTGTGTTGCAGAATATTTTTGCTTTATATATATTTTATTGTACAATATTGTTAGTGCCAGAAACGAATTAATTTTTTGAATTTGATGATTCGTGATTATATTCATTTCTTTATTCTAATTTTATTATTTCAAATTCAATTTTTATATATGACAAAAATAACATTTGGCTGTGAATGTTATTGATGTTTGGCTTAAGAGAATAGTACACATTTTTGTGTTGAAAATAACGACTAGAATGAATTTGAGAAGTTTCCTAACAATCATTATGATTCATAAGATTCAACCATCTGCCGTTAAAAACTACTGACAGCTAATTTCAGATAAGTTTATCGAAACTTTGTCGGAAGACAAAATGACCATTGAGATAATTAATTTATGCCTAAATTTTGAAAACACAATTAAATACTGAAGAATTACTAGCAAAACAACATGAAAGCTGATATTCGCAATATTCTGCATGGGTGAAAAAAGTGTCGGACCGGTTGACAAAATTTCAATTTCTATATTACCATTGGCAGCTTGCCGATTGGTCAATATTACCGAAATCAACAAGGAAATCGATCTTTGGGGGAAATATTCATTAATGTGTCGTCTTCGTTTGTAAGACCTTTGCTCTTTGCACTGTGTCCAGGTTGAGAATCTAATCTCGTTTAGAAACTTGACTCCAAGCTACTCGCTTTGTAATTATTAGCTTTTGTGACAAGTTTTATACCCTCAAATTATAAAATTAAGATTTTAAGTCCTAGCCTTGCAGCTCTGGGTAAAAAGATAGTTCATCTCTAGATGTCTCGCAACCGAAACAAGAGATTGCGCATAACATTTATTCGGTATAAAACTGAATCAATTTTCTACATTCCGTATATTTCTGTATTAATTCTGTATTGCCAAATACACATATATAATGTTTAGCTCGGCGTCTTATTGTTCAACTGATATATCATGTTCCTATAATATAAATAGTTAACCACTTCTTGTACGCTCGTTTAGACAGTGGTGTCATGCGGATATCCATATATACGAATGAGGTTATGCATATTTACATGAAATATCCAACTAAAAGATTTATGTGTGTTTACACCTCACATTGGCATGACAATTTTTAGCACTATGAATTAATAAAAAAAGTCATTTGATATTGTGTAAGTATCAGATGCTAAGTGTTCGCGTATAACACAGGCCACAGTACAACCGTGGTTCATGAAATTCCTGATATATGTGATAAGTTAATTTTCAAACAAAACATATCAAGAGTTATTTGGATTTTCCTTAAATTCCAAAAGATCAATTAGGTTTTGAAATATAAAGTAGATCAAGTGAATATAAACGCTTGGTGATGTTCATAACCAATGACGTGAATGATAATCACTAAATCTATCCATTGAATTCCAATCCATTCATTTCGTTGTTTCTTACGTATGTATTAACTACAGCGTGGATTGGACAATGCAGTCAGTCCTTGTACGGAAAGATATGCAGTTTCTGAAAACTCTGGAGAATTCGGAAACAAAAATAGCCCGTCCCATGAGAAATGCACGCCCTGAATCGCCTCGCAAAACGGGATTTCAATGCACTACTAGTAACAGTTGTTGCACGAGATCGTCTTGTCTTACGTTAGAGCAGAATTTCTTTAATTATATTTTATGTAAAAAGCAATGCAAGACGTAATAAATATGCAGCCGTCCGTTATTTATACTTTATCTTCGAGTAGTCGTGCTGCAGGGTTAGTGTCAAGAAAAGTGTTTTGGTCTAGTATATAACAGGTAATATATATATTAGTGTTGAATATCGTAGGGAAATTGATCACATATATATTAAATTTAGAAAACGAGAATGAAGAAATTGAAATTTTTTAAAAATAACATTTTGTTTTAAGGAAAATGCCGGCCAGTAAGCCCCCTGCAGGTGTGGACATTGATCTTAAGGATAAAGATGTCCAAAAAGCGGCGGCAATGATTCAGAAATCTTTCCGTGGGCATCGTGTCCGTAAGAAGATGCTCGAAGATGGACCTCCCAGGTATCACGCACCAACAAGAACAAACTATTACTGTATATAGGCAATAAATCTGAAAATATGCTCTTTTTTCACGATGTTTTTAACTAAAATTACATTCGATATATTAATCATACTGTTACATTGGCCGTTGTAATAATTTATTTCTTATATAGGACGTTAGACGTAATTTAATGGGAGCGATAAAGTCGACAAAATTTACTGTTATTATTGCCATTTTGCGGATTTATACCGACCGAGTAAAGCTGATCTTTTCATCTATTTTTATTGTTTCAGTTCTATGGGTTTTTCAAAAAAATCAAATCGATTTCAAATATTTGTAAATGTGTATGCTCATATGTAAAATTTGAATATTACTTAAATGTATTTACTACAGATTCTTGGATGGGCTTCAAGATGTCACTATTGTGGAAGGAAGTGCTTCAAGATTGGACTGTAGACTCGGTGGATTCCCAGATCCAACTGTTACGTGAGTATTAAGAGCATTACCTATACAAACAAATTCAAGTTACTGTAATATTTATATGATGATCATGGTCACCATCTGATCCTAATACGCAATATTACAAGATAAAAAAAAGTTTAGATTCAGTTTAATTTAAGCTATTAATCAGGTGAAAATTTCATTTTAAACTGTAAAGTGGAAATCTTCGCTCTTTGTATAAGGTTAGGAAAATTGATACTATTTTTGTCACGAATATTTATATATTTTCCGTGTATTCTAAATTAATTTTGTTTGATTTAATATTTTATATATTTAGGTGTCAATGTGTAGTATTATGTTAATTCCATAAAACAATAGAATCGACATTGGTATGTTTGTTTTGTCAGATGGTTCAAAGATAACCAAGAAATAAAAGAAGGATCTAACTATCAAATTATCTTTGAAGATCCGGACATTTGTGCTTTAGTACTATTGAAAGGTCGGGTCGAGGACAATGGTCGCTATTCCTGCAAAGCATTCAACCAATTTGGCGAAGTGTATGATCATGCCAAAGTGGAAGTGTCATGTGAGGCATTTTAGTGTAATGTTTAGGGAAAACACAACTGATTAAATACGAAAAATGGTAATTTTCTGAATAATATTTCATTTCATTTGAGTATAATGCAAAATGTATAGATATATGTATGTACATCTGCTGTACACCATTTATTGTGATGGTTAAACGGATCAGAACATTCGTGGTGTTTTGTATTACCACACACACTAATTTGCTAGTATACTACTCATATAGTATGCAACTATGAATTTCATTAGAACATATTTTGACGAATGTTCACAAATGTCCTCGCCGATAATTGACAATTAAGATTTATAATGACTTAAGTGCAAAATATAAGTAATTCAATAAGATAAAATAACGAACCAAAACTAAATTTCCATTTAGGGGTCTCAGTAAGTATGATTTTTATATGCTTGTGAACCATTTATTATTTTTTCAACAGCACCTGCCAAAATTGAACATGGTCCTTCGAATATATCTGTAAAAGCTGGTGACACTGTTCAACTCGTTGCAACAATAAGTGGCAATCCTCTGCCCGAAGTAAGTAACAATCAGCGGTGGATTCACCATTACGCTAGCCGTAGCACCATCTTACTATTCTTAGTGTACGTATGCGTACTTACGTTAGTGTACGTATGCATCTTGCCTGTAACTCAAATTTCGTATTTCACACAATTCAAAAATTTTGACGTCGTGATATATTTTAGAAACCGTAGGAAACATATTGGGACGTCATAATTCTTTTTGTGAGCCGTAAGCTATCGATGTTGTTTTGTATTCAATTTTAAGGTCGGCTGGGCAAAGGGAGATGTTGACATCGAGGAGGATGATCGAATTTCTTACGAGATAGATGATGATAAAACAGTTCTCACGATTAAAAAAATCACCAAAAAGGATGCAGGAAAGTACGAATGTTACGTCGAAAACGAACTAGGAACAGATCATACGTTCGCAAGAATTGAAGTCAAATGCTGAAGGAAAATATGAATATCACGTTTTCACGAAGCCCTTGACATTGCTGAAGTTGTCATATTGTTTAATAATAAAATTTGATATTTTCATGGAGAATAGAACATTGATATATAATAAATCGTTCTATTTATATATAAGCCTGTATGTGGATAATAAAAAAGAAATCTATTGAATACTACATAAAAAGATCGTGTAGTAAATGCCCTTGCAGATACTAAAATTTATAGAATGTGACCAAGGTGATTTACCTCCAATATATACATAGCGTTGAATTATTATTTTTACTCGATTTCCAATGTTAATTACGGTATCTGACATTTGTCTTAACAGCATATCCATGGAATTACCAAATATTGACATTTTCGTCTAGAATACTCTAGACTAGATGACAGATCATGGTAACTTCACTCAAGGCTGGATAACCATGGGGCAAAATAAGAGGAGGGACACCCCAGAAATTTGCATAGTCGAACTTTCAATGCCGCTTCAGTGTTTAATAAAATAATTAGAGTTGGTCTGGCGACTCAGAGCTCAATATTGTTTCACTTAAAACAAATTTTGCTTGTTTAATGGCGACTGACGCTTTTTTAACAGTATTGATGTTACGGCGAAAGGCTTCTGACGATTTTTAACAGTATTGAAGATACGGTGAAAATTCCATTTAATGCTTGACGTATTTTAACAGTATTGAAGTCATGGTCAAATTCTAATTAAAATACTTCATGACTGACGCCTTTAGCAGTAATACTGTTAAAAACAATAGACGTCCAACCGGCATTTCACCGTAGCTTCAATACTGTTAGTATTCGATTGCGCTGAAATTAGTGCCTCGGTGTTTATAGGATTAGTCAGACGATTCAGACACCTGTATTGGCCGGATCTTCCTGATGTATCATCTTAAACCTCTATAAATTTTGGCATGAGAACCATTTAAAAAAAATAAGTAAATTAATCATAATTTGGCCTTTAATCAGTAATGATTACTGAAACTTACTTTTTAGATAACACGAAACACTTGTTACATTTATATTATTATATTTTATATAAAGGGACCTAAAGTCAGTGCCTCTTCAAGGCACGCGAAAAATCGAGGCAATGGCTTTACAAAGACCTTTTGCTTCGGTCGTCTGACTCAATCTGATTCGTAGCAAAAGGGTTGACAACATTACGGTAGTACCGGACGAAAAATCTTATTTACTTTTATACAAATTGAACGACTGTACGCAAATAACAACGTGTTCCTAATGTATGGTAACTTCTTTCAAAATATTCTCAACAGTCACACGTGATGCTCGGTAGCCAGGTGTTGGTATATTCCAGGGGTGGCCAACACGTCGATCGCGATTGACCAGTCGATCACCACGTCTCGAATAGTCGATCGCATCTGATGATGAATGAATTCAATAACATAGCCTAAACAACGCAATGAACCAGTTTCATTAGATCTGAATTGTATGATTCGAATAAATCTTAAAAAACCACCGAACTTATTGGCAAAGGTGGAACTTTTTTTTATATGCATGTGTGCATAGTTTTCTGCATATTCAGTACTCATTCGGTTTTGTGTATGGACTTATTGCCGATTAGTCGATCGCGAGCTATTTTGACGGTAAATAGAAGTAAAGTTTTTGTAAAACTATTCTGGTTCGGTCGTGGCTATACATGTCATTCGGATAAGATGTCGGCACTGTATTGAGTCAGATATATGCCGGGATGAGGAAAGTCAACGAGTGGCTTTATCAATTGGCAAACCGCGCTTTCTAGGGGTCAGGTGTGGGAATGAAATGTTTATGTAATAACTGCAGTATAGCACTATGCCCAGTACGAAAATCCCTAATCCTGAGAGAAACTAAACTTATACTCAACTAAATCATCTCAGCATACATGCTCATTTGGTATTTCCATACATGAGGGGTTACCATGGCGAGTAGCCGTAGGCCTGTGGCTATGATTAAGCTTAATTCTTACTGTACGATTACTTGACCAGTTATTCTCACGCCCGCTGAGCACAAGAAATCAATCACCCTATCGAACCCGCGTGATAAGAGCAACATACCAGAAGTTTTAATTTTATCTTGACTCTATCACCGCAACTTCATTAATTAAGGAAATAAGTACCTCTTTGAGTATACACAAAATACCAATTCAGCTCATTTAATAGATATTACAACGGGCTTTGTTCCAACTTCCCTTGCAATCTCTTAATGTATATAAATTGATTTGGTCAACTAGATTACATCTTAAACTTCTACACTACATAAGTCATCGCCCTTTATTTATACGCTTAAAGTCCGTTCTTATACCTATCCTTTGTGAACATGTTTTAACTCATGCTCCCCACCCACGTTCACATGTCATATACCAAGGGTGGCCAACACGTCGATCGCTTCGACCGGTCGATCGCCACGTCTCGAGCAGTCCATCGCGTCTCATGTTGAGTGAATTTTATTGTAATACCGCCAAAAATTGCTTTGAAGCAGTTGTGTGTTTACAACAGGAAGAATACAGTACTTTACATGCGCAAAATACAATATACACATACAGTATTTAAGTCTGGGCAACCCCGATAAAGCATATTATTACGTATCAAACGCAAGTGTCTCCGCTGCCAAGGTTTGAAAATGAGGTGCCGAATATTGCGTGTCTAGACTGACAAACGATCCTACAATGAGTTATTATCTCACTCCAAGAGTAGTGTGATAAATTTCATCTGCAATGGTAGCCGACTAGCCGTGGCATCAAAATTCCCAACTTGTTCTAATTCTAAGCAAGCGAAGAATCGCGTTTGGAGGAAATTCTAAATTAGATACTGAAGTTTGAGCAGTCATGTAACATTCATGGTTTGAGAATATTTATTTTTCGCTATTCAGATAATACATGAATACTTGGTTTATTGGTGAATTGTCAACACATACGGCTAAAAATTAGGCAGGCCATATATCTGAATTGTATGATTTGAATAAATCTTAAATAAATGATAAAACATTTACTCTGGGTACAATTGAATAATCAAATTAAGAACTTAAATGGAACAAAAAAATACAAATTTTGTGTCGATTTCATTAAAAATGCGCCCACGAAGCCGAGTTTATTGGCAGTGGTGAAATTTTTCGTATGTGTGTGTGCAGTTAGTTATCAAAGTATTCAGTATCCATTCGTTTTTGTGAGTGACCTTATTACCGAACAGTCAATCGCCAGCTATTTTGAAGATTTTAGTCGATCGCGGTCAAATGCAGCAAAGTCCGTAAATTATGTTGTTCTGCATGTCTATTCGTACATGTAGTCCTATTTAGTGGACTGTAAACCTATATTTAATAATTTTTATCAAATTTTATTTTAATGGGAATCCCACGGGATGGGATGGTATGGGACAGGCATAATTGCTATGGGATAGGATGGGAATGAGACAGAAAAATATGTCCCATGGACAAGCCTGGTAATCTGCATCACACTTCCGTTTGCTGCCTCACGACTGAAACATGAATCCGCTTTAAATACTGCATCATGTTTGGATAATACATGAATACTTGACAAGGTTTCTTGAAGAATTTTCAACTTTAACAACTAAAAATTAAGCACGCTTGTTATCTGAATTGTATGATGTGAATAAATCCTAAATAATGAATGAAAAATTAACTCCGGGTACAAATAAATAATCAAATCAACAACTTAAATGGAACATCAAAAATACAAATTCTGTGACGATTCTAATAATAATGTGCCCACCAAGCTTCTTATTGGCAGCGGTGGAATTTTTTGAGTACGCGTGTGCTGTTATCTACACATTCAGTGCACATTCGATTTTGAAATCAGCATTATTTGTAGACGACATAGGGAGACTTCGAACAGAGCCTATTCCTTTGTGATAAGATGTATTGTTCTAACGCAGGAACACTCTTTGCCGTGCAGAATTCTAGATATCTCACAATCGACCACACCAAATCGCAATTAACATCTCTTAATTCTATGTTTTTCGACCCAATTGATGACATCGCCTTCGCAAATTTAGCTGAACGGAACGCGGTGGCAGACGTCTTTAATGAATTAACAGTAAATTTACATTATTTGGATTGTTAATTGGAAAATTCTTTAGCTAACACATATCGTATCCTCGCAAGACAATACCCTGGCGCAGTTCTCCAGGCTATATTAAAAGGAAACAGGGCAGCCATTACAAGCGGTGATCGCCTGCTAGAGATAGCATTTGAGGAAATAAATGTGACGCTCGTGCCACATTTACATTATAGTGATTGGTTACCACTACACGAAAGTCTTTGTTTGAATTTTGGGTAGGGTTAACTTGGTTTTCTTTTTTCTAACATGAAATGGGGTAGCCCACATTTGGGGGTTAATTGCTATAACATTACGATAGTCTGTTCGCAACTAAACCGTTGGTTAAGTACACTGATGAGCAAAACAACGAATGAATCTCTCAGATCGCGATCCAGTATAGGCTACGCCAAGTACAGACTTCGTAGCACATAGGAGCAAGCTGTTGCATTCATTACATTGTCTATCGTCGCCGGGGTATACCTAACTTTGTTTCTTCTGGGGAATGCAATTGACTATCATGCTTATTCGGCGTTTATTACCTGTTTTAAAAGTTGTTGTCAAATACGACAACAGACAAACGACAGGACCATATGCCATCAACGACAGTAGCAAACGTACTTCTGCCAGATATGAAACAAGAATAGATATGACAGATGACAAAACCAAAGTGGCTTTACCCAATCGTACCTCATATTTTGTACATCAAAGATGTCTATTCGCTGTTTAAGATTTAGGCGGTCTCGGGTTATAGAGAACTTTCACGGGTCACGTGACTTTGTTACTGGACGGCAATAAAACAAAAACGTCCATTTGGCTCCTGTCAGTTGCAAGTCGGATTATACGTTTCCGTTTTGTTTGGCTGTTGAAAATGGGTATTTCGTATTGTTCCGTTGGCTGTACGTATAGTATAGACAACGAAATGGATCTTCAGTTATATTCCACTGTTTTCAAAAGATCCGGAACGTCGCGCAATGTGGATATCATCTATTGGCAGGACTGCTTGGTGTCAAGTCCAGAAGCCATCTCACTTGTGTTTCACTGTATGCGGACAGCACTTCGTTGATGGTGAGTCATCATGTGCCGTTATCAAATTTTTAAATATTCATAAGCTCCCTCATTTCAATGGGAAGCAAATGACAAACTACTGTTATTGGTAGGCCTAGGCGTAGGCCTACTTGCAGACGTGACTCGTGTAAGGTATTAATCAATAATTGCCATAAGG